AGAGAGAGAGAGAGAGAGAGAGAGAGAGAGAGAGAGAGAGAGAGAGAGACTTGACCGGCCTGCCGCAGTAATCACAGCTCCAAACAAATTCTTATTCTTCTCTACAACTGTTTGACTGGCAGGACTCCAGAGACCCACAATTCTTTAACGACTTAAACTTTCAAGACCTGATGGGAACTGAAGTCATAATTACTGTCTCTGTGTGAATTTGATTGAGTCGCCTTTCATGTTCACATCATCTGGCGGCATATGACGACCACCACCTAACTCAGTCTTTGATATAGGCGATTAAAATCATTTCCCAGCTTCATTCGGGTCATGGTTTGGATTGGCAGAACAGCACATGGTTACAATACATGCAGGCCAGATCAGACTTCACTCGTGTGAAATCGGAGGTCTTCATCGAGGGGTACTGATCTGGGAACAGCTCTCAGCTGCCACTTAATTCCTCTGCTTCTTTTTTGGAGGTGCTAACATGCCCAGGGGCTGATGAGGAAGAGAAACCGATATATGTATAAATGTGCGGAGGTAGCAGCATGCCAGTGTACCCGGCTTAAATGTGAAGTTGAGCATTCAGCAGCTGCAGGAGTATTTTGATTGTGTGTGACCATCCTAGGCAATCTATTTGAACTCATAGCTGGAAAAAGTCATATTCAGGCATGTGTGTATCGTCTTATATCTTTGAATATAATATTCAACCAGATAGCTAATAAAATTAAAAAACTAAGTACGGGGAAAAGCTGCATACTGACAAGATAACCTTCATCAAAAACAGGGAAGCAAAGAAAGCAATCTGCAACTCTTCTCCATAGGGCTACATCCATTTTGACCTTCTCTGGCTGATGGTGCCCATTGAGGTTTGGATACAATTTGTGGAGCAGGAACTGATTTGCATAAAGCGTTTGGAAATTTGCAGCAATTTTTTTTTCTTCTGTCTGGCTTCTGGCATTTTCCAGATGTGTAACAATAGCTGTTTCCACATGTGCAGTAAGGCGGTAAACCAATAATCCTCAAATTTCATTTTGTTGGAAAGATTGGATCTTTCCCCCACTTTCGCAATACATTAAATCTACCACTACATGAATATAAATCTCTACTATATTTTATACTATGGAGGGAGCAGTTAAATTTAGCTCAAACTAACATTAAGAACTTACTAAAGTTGTTAATGGTAGTAAATTTAGAACTTAAGTTAGTTTCTATAGTTTAGTATAAAGAAGAGCTTGCTGATGGTCCCAGTAATCTGTTAATGTTTAAAAGCTTAAACAGTATAACCAAATTATGATACAAAAAAAATGGTAATATTTTAAAGAATTTTTATTGTTGCAGCATTTGCACATTTCCTTTGGCAGGAAATAAATTGGAAACCAACTAATCAATTAGCCAAAATAATTGTTATAGAAGTTATCGAAGTCACTTCCCCCGGTCAATCTGAAACATTTAGTTTCAAATGGAAAATATATAAAATAATTTTTAATTGATTATTTTCTCATCATAGCGGACTTTGCACCTTTGCTTAATATATATAATAAAAACTTTTTATCAAATTCATAAATATAAAATACCTATTTTTGCACACATAAGAGTCAGCATTCCTTCCATGTCCTACATTACATGTGTGTTCTCCCATCAACTCGCGAGATCGTCAGGCTCGCGGAGCTTTGGCTTAGCACGTGTGCAATTTTTTTCCTTTTTTTTTTAAGTGTGGCTCTCAGCTGCCGAGGGGGATGATGATGATGGCGGAGCTGATTCAGGGACAGGCCTCGGTGGCTCAGCCTGGAACGAAAGATGACTTTGCTGACACGATACGCCGAGTCCGACAGGTAAAACGATCCTCGTCGAACATGACTGGGACCTATTCAGGCCACGAGCAGCGCGCTCTCACGCTGAGCAGGCCAAGATTTCTGTCGAGGCAACCTGGACTCACTACTATAAACACTCCTCATGCTCCCCTAGAGCTAGCAAGCTAACAGTAAATAGCCGATAAAGCGTAGCTGAGCGGACAGATTAGAGTTTACAGCGGTCGGAAGACTCGCTAACTCGGTGTCAGTACAGTTAAAGGGACCACACAAATCATATCTACAACATAACACGGAGGCATCTGCTCGTGTCGAAGTTTATGCTACTTTGTTAAGTTATGCTGAGACGGTACAACCTGTTGTCAACTCACAGAAGTTACAGTTAGCTGGCTAAGTAAGTACTTTAAGTTGGATACCCTGCAACTTGACCGACAACGTAACCAAACACAACATTTAGTTTAGACATGGGGCCCCAACAGCTGTTTGTTTTAACTTCCAAGTTAGCTTTAGGGTAACTAGGTAGTTTCTTCAGTTAGCAAGGCTCCTTGCTGGCAGGACTGACCTCAGAGCTACTCAGTTTACCTTCTTTATATTTAACTCCGTAAGCTGCTGTGCTACACGTATGACGCGTGTTGCTTATGATTATATAAAGGAGTCGGTTAGCAGAGCTGGCGTTAGCCTGCTAGCCTGTGTGGTACCATGTCCTCGTAGCAGCGTTGGAGTTAGGCCATATAATGTAACGTCATCTGTTGAAATAAGCCCCCCTCCACTCCTGCTAAGCACACAGGGTTTTTTCCATTGCTAACAACAAAATATATTTACAGTACCATGTTTAAAAAAACACGACAAAATCATATTTTTAGAGCAGTTTTGTAAAGTGTGCGTTTCTTTTTGTTTTTGTACATGTTGTCATCATTAGAAATGACCACACAAACTAAACAAACTCTGAGGTGGAGCATTTGTGTACCACTGACAACACTTAATAGTATATAAACTGGACTTTAGTCAGATACTGCAGCAGCTGCCTCCGGTGTAGACTATAACCTTAGCTGTGCCTCCTCATGTTTAACTCTTCATTTTCTACATTTAAGATGTTGTTTAGATATCTCACTGAATCAGTTTTTAATACTTGGTCTCATTGTACGTACATTTACTATAATATTAAGTAGATACACAAGCTAAATTACTTTTAGTTTCACATGTATTGGATTTATACACATGGGGTCGATAACATGTCAGCTACATGTTGAAGGCTGTCTAATTCTAACCTTTAATTATCCTTCAACACCTTCCTCTAACTAAATAGCTCCTTCTAACCCGAACAACTTTTATGCCTTTTAAAGTACATATCAAAAGCGTCTGTCTCTATCTTGGCGTGTAGCCGTCGGCCTGTACAGACGACGACAGTTGGCACACTGTAAGCCTTCTCCAGGAAAGAAATTGATGCATGTTTGTGTAAGCTTCCTGCATGCTGCACAGGAGCTGCTTTTAGCTGAAGAGTAGCTGTAACTTTGAGCATGAATGAATTCCTATCACCTGTGAGATTTATTTTTATTTTTTACCCACAACTGGGTAAAATCCGACTCCTGCTTGGTGAGTATATTTCACCGGTCATTTCTTCCCCTGCCCCTGGTCCACCACTTTTTCTTGTGGCAGTGGTTGCACATGGGTCACACCGGACTCCAGATACATAGTACAAGTGTTGGCAAGCGGGCGCTCGGTTCTAAACATAGTACCGCTTGGGAGGGCTGTACTGATGCGTCTCATGTCGACAGTAAATCTTATCCTCAAAACAGGATTGTTGCTCATCTGGTTCTCCTTTGTGTGGTATGTTGTTTTTCTAAGTGGAGGTGAAGTCGTATTCGGAGCCTGAAGTCTCTGCAGAAATGGAGTTTTGGGCTTCATAAATGGGTCACACGAGGAACGTCAAAAAGCAGTAAACATAACTAAGTGTAACACCTTGTTGCCTGTAAACAGTTGTCTGATTATACAAAGGTTCAGATTGGTACCCGGACAATTTTTTTTCTCCTAACTTCTCTACCTGATTGAAATCCATTTGGATTTGTTTCTTGAATTTTGGTTCCTGTTTGTTTGTTTGTTTGTTTGTTTGAAACCCATGTTGCAATCAAGGTTGCTTTCGCTTGGGATGCTAGACTGTAGTGTGTGTGTTGCGGCTGAGCCAGTTGTAACAAGGAGGAGCCGACTGGTGTGTTCACGTTGCTGCTCCTCAGTGATTTGCCCCTCGTTCTTTTCTTTTCTTTTTTTTTTTTAATTAATACGTTTGTAGACGTATTGGATTCCATCAGAATTATTCACATCCAGAAAATGATAATTTTTGCTGTGCGCTGATTTCAGAGTAACAACAAGCTGGATGAACAAGTTTTAATGGAAGAAGCCAGCCTCAGTCCTGGCAATTGTAGCTGGTGAAAATGAAAACAAATCGTGGCATAAACTTTAAGAAGCTGTTTGCATCTGCTGGATTTTGTTTACGGATGTGAAACTGCAGTTTACCTTCCCCTTAGTTAACATGTGAGTGGCACCAGTCGCTCTGAAAAGAGAAGTCATCCTGTCACTTTCAGGAAATCATATGATGGTAACATGTAGGAGGTGGAGTCTTTGTTCTGTGTTATTGGGCTTTAACCACAGATGCAGTTACCTGCATCTCCTGACTCCAAGCTGAAGCTAAAGTTGCTTTCCCTTTCAGCTTGTCCAGCGGCCTGTTTGACACCTAACTGCAAACAAGAGTACGATTTGTTTGATCAATCCCTGGTCTAATTTACCCTGTGCATAATGTTTCTTGTTTGCCGGTGTCCATTTTAGCAAGAGACCTATCTGAATAGTTGGAACTACTTAACAGGAACCTGAACTTTGACCCTCTGAAACTAATAAAACCATCAATGATGAATCACTGACAAACTTTGTTAAATAGAGGTTACAGAAGCCAGAATGTGCTTGTTTCCACATCATATAGCCTGTTTTGTTTTTGTTTTTTGACAAAAACTATTAAAAAAAATTAATGGAACATAAACAGTTACAGTTCATGACAGCAAAATGCCAGTTTTCTATATTTCTAATTTATTTATTTATTTACGCACACTCAGTTGGTGGGTTGAAATGAAGAAATGAACCTGCTTAGTGAAGAAAAAGGTGTTTTTATGTCAAACCTTAGCGGTGTGGCTATGAAATTCCATCAGTGGTTCTTCACTTGGAACTGTTTTTGTTTGGCAAGAAACTCTGTGTATCAAATGTCACAACTAAAATTAATGATAAACTTTTTTTCTTACTATGCTAATCAGTGAGGAACACAAATAGCAAATGGCCAGATGTTTGGAAAGATATACTAGTAGAAGTCTTGTAATGGTCACAAATTAAACCCAACAAAGTTCAAGTATTTTTAGATTTCTTGACTTCATTTACAGTGCATTTACTCTTGGCTTACGTGTACATGGCAGCAAAGATGGCTTGTTACAAGCAACCCCACACCTGCTTCCTTTTATGCCTCCTTATTTCCATTGCAGGGCTCTGAAGTAGATAATCGTCCCTGAAGGTGATGGGAGACTCCAATTTCCAAAAGCGTATATTCATATTGTGAAAAAATTCCAGTCAGGCACACATGTCAATTTAGTGTAATTTTCTGAAATGCTATACTTTTGTATGGAAGGAGAGGTGGCAGATTAACGCGGAGGAGAACACGCTGCTGCAGCTCTCGCACAGGGTGCTTAAATGGCCGTCACTTCTGAATGTAAGAATCTGCAAGTGGCTCATTTTGAAAGTGGACAGATTTTCAAGTCGGATGCAAGTCAAATAACTCTCCTCCGCGTTCAGTTTTATGTGGGGGGGTGGGAGTGTGGGTAAAGACTTTTCACAAAAAGCATTTGCAGAAATGTTTTTGATGGGGATCATATTTTTTAGACACTCATTAGATGTAACTCTTCTCTCTGGAAATGTGTTTGGTTGGTTATTGATCCCTAGATCAAATACACATTGCAAAAAGTGACTTGATAATTTGATTAAGAGTTTTGAAATAAGAATATAAGAATTAGACAAATCAGTTGTTAAACAGTTAAACATGCTTTTACCCCCTCATTGCTTGAATTGTTCTGGGGTTGTTGTTTTTTTTGTGTTCATTTGTTATGCATCTAAATATTTTAAAAAATGAGAGCATAGAAATAAAGTAATTTGAATTTGGAACGCACGTAGAGGCATTATCAATGATTGGCTTTGGGCAAGTGTGAAAACTGGTCACCGGACCACCCAACACAGGCCGCCTGCAGCGAGAAATCCATGCACACCGTCCAGTGACCAGAGAGGAGGTGGCATGAGTTACCTCGCTTAGGGCCTTTGTAACCACATCGGCTCGCCTCCGTCGTTGTCAGTAGCGCCGCGTGGGCCTTACGTACAGAGCGCCGTGCCGTAGAGCCTCACCTGCTCCTGAAAAAGGGAAGTGTGCTGTGGAAAATCAATTAAGTTTAAAGATCAACGTAGAAACAGAAAAACCCCAGAGAAACTGCACACATTGGCTACTGCTCCTCTGTTTGTGTTGTGAACAAGCCAGCTGAATGGGAAGGGGGGGGGGGGGACTTCCCCGGCCAATCGGTGAGCAGGGTTCTCTTCTTCTTTGTGCACATTTCGGCCGTAAACCAAACTTAAGTGACAAGGCAACAGACCAGTCCAACAGAGTCCAGCGGCCTGTCCAGGTGTGGGTGAGCCCCAAATTAATCCCTGGGATGTGTGTGTGCGTGCGTGCGTGCGTTGCTGGGTCTGTGTTGACTGGTGGGCCTTTTGCCCGATGACAGCTGGGGCAGACTGCAGCCCCACCGCCCTGAAAAGGATTAAGAGGGTACGGGAGATGAATGGATTGATGTTTCCACAAATAAAAACCGGGGATTCAATTAAAAATGTGCCTGTCAGAATAACAGGGGGCAGGGCTGACGCAAACAAAGGAAAGTATTGAATAAATCAGCCATTGAAGTCATACCAATGATGCAGACAATTAGAAATGAGGGCTGGTCTCTAATACAGGCCTGCCCCTAATACCGGCCTGGCATCCTAAGCAGTTTATGTAAATATAGGCCTTGGTTTCTATTTTAGGAAATATAGCATTTCTAAGCTATACGTGCTTCCTGTTTTTGTTGTAGTACAGGATTATAAAGCTTTATTATAAAGATATAAATGTGAAAATCAGTTCTTGAATTTGAGAATATTTTAATACTTTAAATATTTAGTCGTTTTCTGTAACTTTTAAATATTTCCTTTCATCTGTGTTATTTGTCCTGAGGTCATTAGGAAGCCAGAACTAGATCTTTTTTACAACGAAGCTCCATCTGTGTTCAACAAATCTACCTGCTTCAATATGATACAAGTAACCGTTTTAAGTTAACAGAAGGTAGCCTCCATATACTTGCAGGTTTGTTGAGGCCAAACGGAAGGCCAAGAATTGAAAGAATTGCCACACTTAACATGGAGCGCTCGGTCTCCTTTTATGCCTCTGTGGAATAGAAATGTACATTTAAAGGTGTCTAAACCCACCCCATTCTGACTGATATACCATCCATCCTGTTTTCCTCTACAGATGGCAGCCAAGATGGGAGGAGAGCAGATGCCCAACATGAACAGCTCGTCTCCGGTCATAGACCACTCTATGTATGGCTTTGGAGGCCAGAAACGTTCTATGGATAATGGAGGTTTGTGTCAAACTGAAATGAATTTGTACATTCAAATCAGTGTAGCTCATAAAAGAATCTCAAAATGATTCTAAGTAAAACTTAGCCCCTCATGTAACTGCCAGGTTTCCTCCAACAGCCTCCGTGGCAGGGCGATGTTTGCAGATCCTTTACTTCAGAGTCGGCTTTAATATTAACTGTCAGCTCTATTTTTAGTCGGAAGGCTTTTCTCAAAAGCAGGAAAAAGCATGCTTCAGTTTTAGATTATTTTATATTTCTCACCATTAAGGGGAGTTTTCCCTCTGTTTTTGATGTGGTTCTGCTCATTGATTAATTTGGGATGCTTGTTGAACTTGTAATTACATCTTAAGTTGTCTGTCGAGGTGGCGGTTGCATCAGCATTTTGTTCTCCAGTGGCAGCGGGAGTCGTGCTAGGGGTCAGCCTCACACTTGTGCAGTTCTTCTGTATAGCATTTGTCATACAGGGTCTTCTCTGTGCACCTGGGCTGAGCCTGTAGGAACACAGGGTTCAACCTCCTCCCCATGGTTTGTGTTGCAGCACATTGTGTTTCAGATGGAGGGAGATAGTGAATCTGGTTGATCCAAGAATCGAAAGGCTTTGTTTGCCTGATGTCCTAAGGCTTTGATACTGACCGTGTCACATAACACGGAAAGTTTTCAGCTACAGACGGCAACTGCAAAAGAAGGCGTTGTTGTACGAAATAAACTGAAAAGTTCATTATACTTTGTCTGCCTAGCTCTCACAAACTTTGATCCAACAGCTGAAGTCTGTGTGGAAGGAGCCTTGAGACACCCCGAGTCGGTTCTGTGATGTTTGGGATTCTCTGGATGTTGTAGAACTGGCAGTGCGTGTTTGAGCTACACTGTAATCTGCGCTGTTTGTGTGGGGTATTAAGTATCTGACTCTTCAGTGTGGTGGAAAGAATGTCCTATTTTTCCGTGCCTTGCACTCACAACAAAGATTTGATCCATTTCATATCCACACCGGGGAGACGCGAGTCATTTACCTGTCCTCCTCTTATCCTGTCACAGTTGTTTTTATATGACGTTCAGCCTCGAATGCATGGATAGGAAAATTGTATGCAATTCGAGTTTAGGTTTGTTTGATGCACTGTGATTGTTTGCAACAATTTGTCCTCAGATTTCTCAGTCAAGGTTGCACCACAGATTGGGAGACATGGCAGAAATGGTATCTGTGTAGCATTGCAGTCGGCTCTCAGCGTTTAATCATCCAACAAGTCTACAAATTCTCACACGATGTTCAGGCTTTATCAAGCAGTCTTGTCCTTGCATGATGTCTGTACATTCTGCTTTCTGTTTTTCCATTCAAAGCTGTTCCGTTCCCAAGTGATAACCCTTTTATTTTTTGGGGAGTGAAATCAGTGCAAACAAGCATAAAACCGATAGAATCCACAAGATACGAGTTCAGTCACGGCAGCACATCCTCCAATGACCCCGCAAGACCCTCCCTTGGTTGCTACTTGTCGGAATTCGGTGCAAGACCAGCAGTTCCCGACCCGGCTGCGGCCGCTCTGAGCGTCCCTGATTGAAACGCTCAGTCATGCACTTGTGGGGCTGATTTCCATGCCGATGAAAGCTCCCCGCTGTGGGTCAGCCGCAGACATGTAGGACCAGCGACCTCACACCCATCTGCTCCCATCTCCTCCAGCAGACTCCCCCTTTCTCATTGTGCTGCTTCACTGGATATAACTTTAGCAGATATTTAAGATGTTATGTATTTTTATCTATGATTTCTTGCGATTTAATAATAATCCTTTTGGTGTGTGTCCCCGTCCCCCCCTTTTTTTTCTCTCGTTAGTGGGGAACCATCTTGGTGCGATGGTACATCAAAGGTGAGCAGAAGTAGTCTGTTGTCACAGTCACATTATTTGCTGTCAACATGTATCGATATTCAAACATTTTAAACACATTTTCTAGCATTTTTTTTATTCATACCTAACCTACAAAATGTAAATTTATGCTGGAAATGTTTGTCACAGGGCTCTAACAACAGAAGACTTCAAAGTGCCTGATAAAATGGTGGGATTCAGTAAGTAGCCCTCCTTCATTATATCAAGCATTAACGTGCAATCATCGGTATTGACGTTCCACTCGGTTTTTGGGTCACTGCTTGAGGCATCTGTCCCAGTTCAAAAAGGCTTATAAAAATTCTCATCCCCCCGTTTACTCTTAGTCATTGGAAAAGGAGGAGAGCAGATCTCAAGAATTCAGCTGGAATCGGGTTGCAAGATCCAGATTGCTTCAGGTAAGCTTAAGAATCCCACTTCACACATTTGAAAGGAGTTTTCAGAAGCAATAAGGTGAAAACATACTAGGTAAACGTGGTTCTTAGACTCCATATAAGACACATTGGTATTATTTCCTGACCATTGAAGTTCCACTTTATATTAAACAAAGCTCTTCCATAATTATTCAAACCAGAGTACCAGTCACATTTCTTACTCGGACTTTCTTCTGTGTGCCATCTTGCCTAAAATATATATACTTCATTTTATTTTTTTACCTTATCAATTAACCTGAACAAAATTGTCCTGTGGCATTTAGGTAGTCGAATCAGAATCCTCAGTGACGTCTCCATTTTTTTCTCATTTTATTCCTCCCCTGTTGCCTTTTTTGAAGTCTCTTGTGTCCTTGTTTCAGGACTTTTGGGTGGAGTTGTTTGAACTGGGCTCTGGGGTGGTGTATACTGTAAAGACACGTTCTGGTAATTGTGAGGCTGATTCTTGTTTGTTTCTGTTTTGTTGCAGACAGCGGAGGCATGTTGGACCGGCCCTGCACACTGACTGGGAGCCCAGAGAACATCGAGTAAGTCTGAGTTTTGACAGATTTACTGGTTTATCGTGTGCCACGTCGCCGTGTCGACGGCGCAGACTCAAATCTGCTTTAGCACATCCGCTCAATCAATCACTGAATCCCCTGAACTCGTGTTTCACATCTGACACAGAAAACATCGATCCAAATTTATTGTGCATGACAAAAATGTTTCCTTGTTCTGGCCCACAGGCAGGCCAAGAGGCTGCTGAGTGAGATTGTGGAGCAGTGTAGATATGGCCCAGGCTTCCACAGCGACATGGACGGGAACAGTTCCATCCAGCAGATCCTCATCCCTGCTAACAAAGTCGGCCTGGTCATCGGCAAGGGAGGAGAGACCATCAAACAGCTGCAGGTCTGTCAGACAGGAAGCACTGGGGGACACACCTCAGTGTGCTTGTTGTCTTTATGTCCGATGTCCTCCGGCAGCACGCGTCCAGGCTCGTTTTATCTCATCGAACCCGATCGTTCCACTCTGCCCGCTCTGTGTGCTAACACCTGGTTAGATTAAACATTTTTAATGTGACAGGTTTTAAAAAAGCTTTTCAGAAAGCATTCACCTCCTCACCGTCAGTCTGGATATGGGCATTTCTTATTACAGAGTTTATGTCCTCCTGAGTGAGTAGGGCTTTGGGCCCCAGCTATCTGCGGCTCATTCTGCTCCCCTGTCATTGTGTCCCTGCAGGAGAGAACAGGAGTGCAGATGATAATGATTCAGGATGACCCCATGCCCACAGGAGCAGACAAGCCCCTGAGAATTACTGGGGATCCCCACAAAGTGCAGGTCAGTGCCAGAGGGGCTCACAGCGTGATGTCCGCTCAGTGTCCATCCAGAGGATTTCAGCTGGATGTCAGCTTTGTTTCATGTGCAGTGTTTTTTTTGTTGCTTTTGATGACCTCTTTCCATCCTTTATAATCCCTTTTTGTAGCAAGCCCGTGAACTTGTGGTGAAGCTCATCCGGGACAAAGACCAGGGAGACTTCAGAGCTGGCAGGGCAGACTTTGGATCCAAAATGGGTGGAAGCAGTCTGGATGTAAGGGCCAATTTTATCTAGTTCTTAAAGCTAAACAGCCAAGTTTGGCACCATTGATTCAGAGGTCATGAACTCCCCCCCACACCCCCTCTTGTTTTTCCACCCCCATTCTCCAGGTGGTTGTTCCCAGATTTGCAGTCGGCATCATCATTGGCAGGAACGGAGAGATGATCAAGAAGATTCAGAATGATGCCGGCGTCAGAATCCAGTTCAAACAAGGTCCGATCAGCTAAAGACGTGCTTTGTGTTTTTGGGTTGTACAGTTCAGTGTGAGGTTTGTGTGCCAGCCACATACAGGAGCCCTGCTCCTAAAGGCCTCAAAGATAACAAAATGTCAACATGCTCACTTGTTGCTTAGTCGAAGAGCAGATAAAAGTTAATTCATCGCTGTTTGCTGCTGTCCAGATGATGGAGTCAGTCCTGACCGTGTTGCTCAGGTGATGGGGCAGCCCGACCACTGCCATCACGCAGTCCACCTCATCAACGAGCTGGTTCAGACTGCCCAGGTCTGTCTCTGCTTTCATTCAGATGGAAACAAAATTATTATATCTACTGGCTGATGATCAACCTTTAAGGTTGAGATGCAGCAAAGCGGCAGAGTCAGTTGTTACAGTTTTAGTACCTTTTAATCTCTTTTTTTTATTTTTCTGTTTCTGTCCTGATAGGAGCGAGACGGATTTGGTGGCGTTATGGGACGTCGAGGGCGAGGCGACTGCAGCATGGGTGCATCTGGAGGACTGCAGGAAGTCACTTATGCAGTGCCAGCTGATAAGTGCGGCCTTGTGATTGGCAAAGGTAAGAACCCTGCTTCATTTGGGGGGTTTCTGAAGATGCTGTGAGCTATTTTTGGGGGGGGGTGCTGCTGCAAAGCTTCCTTTGCCTTAAAATGTCTTGCTCCGTCTCGCTTGTGCTGGATACTAATACCACTTAGCATTCACCCACACAAATGGCCTTATTAAAAGAGAATGTAACCCACCAGATTGCAGTTTTTTTTGTTTGAAAGAGAGAGCGCCGTTTGGTGTTCTGCCGCAACGTGAAACTGATGAGGCGAGGGGGGTGAGTGACCACCCTCCCATTCTTCCACCAGGGCTCATGTATACACCACAAGTGGCATTCATTGGCTTCACTAAGGGCTTAATGACGGGGATAATGCGTGTAATGTGACATTAATTGTTAAAGGTGCATAATAACAGCCCTCAATCATGTGGAAGGCTGCCTGGCATCTAATGAGGGTCTTTCAGTCCAATAGAGTGCAGAAAGGGAATGAATAGAAGGAATTAGCTTATTGGCTATTCATGCCCACTCTATTGGCAGCTATTTAAAAGTCATTGACCACTGCATTGGAAGAGGCTGTGAGTGTGTGTGTGCAGTATAGTGGCATGCGTGTAGCCATAGTGTGTGTGTGTGCAGCGGTGGGCGGATCGAAGGGGGCCTCTTTACCTTAGATAAAAACATGGCAATAGAAATGTCAAGTGGCTTTTGTGCATGTAGTGGGGCGAGGGAAACAAATAAACCTGGGCGTTGCGTCCCCTTCTCTCCCCATTAGCATATGAAGCGGACCAGTATGGCGGAGATGGCGGTGGGTCTGGGTGCTGTCAGCAATCCCTTAAAGGGTGCGGTGATTAATATCTTTACGATGCCATATGCAGCCGGTTGCCCCTCTGTTTTGACCCCACACACATGCACAAACTCGCACACCGAGCTTGATAAATCAAGCCACCCACCAATCTGCCCAGACTTTATTACAAGTGTGACTTCACTGCGAGGCACCAGAAGCACTGAAGAGTTCTACTCCTGTTCCGACCTGAAACTTCTAAATCTGACCTGCACTTGCTGTATTTCTGAGTTTCTTACTGATGAGTTTGTTCTGATATTGGCTTGGTCCCAAAAATCGAGGAACATTAATATATCTAGTCAGATTATCAATGTTCCTCTGATGTTTAATAGACTGTGTTTAGGTCAAATCCGAACTTATTGCCTTCAAAAAGAGTGAAACATTGTGTAAGTAGATGTACTCTACCCATAACAATCCCTGTCATTTAGATTTTAAGATGCAGGCAGACGGCTTTAAAGCATCTGTGATGTTAAATTACAGGTGCTTTGTGAAAATCTGCTCTTCATTATATCTAACATGAGAAATACAAAAAAACTCTCCCAAAGCCTGAATAAATGAAGAGCTTCTGTTTACTGAGCTAGTTTGGTTTGTTTTTGTTGTTTTTCTGTCCTCCTCATGCTTGTGTGCCGACGGCTTTGATTGAATGTTTCCAATATGCGACCGGGCGCAGCACAAACGTGTCCAAAGTGCATAGTAACCATGGTAAAACAGAGGCTTTGAAGGCAGCTTTTATTCACGTGGACGTCGATTCGTCCTCCTGCGTTCCTGCTTGTTAAGCACTGATGGATATTCTGGAAATATGGTTGGCGCAAAGCTGCTGTTAAACCTTCTGGTGGTGTTGTTACCCCTGGAGGCCTTACAGGGGTTTTATTCCCCGGCCCAGCAGCTAACCAGGCCCTTTGCTCTGCTCTGAATGCTGTCACCAGTTGCACTTTTTGTCTGCTCCCCTTTTCTCCAGCCCACTAAACCAGTCTCATTAATAAGGCCACTATTATCTGTCCTCGCGACACCCCAGTCCATGAAATGAATAGTCGGGGTCTTCATTGCTCTCTGCTGTCTGACCAGAAGAGATCATAATGGCTTCATTAAGGCAGAAGTTTCATTTGGTTGACAATGGGTTAATGGCCCCTGCGCAGTCTGTTGGCAGCAAGAAACGGCCTACCAAAGGAGGAGAGCTTTCTGATGAGCGTTTTCATTCAGGGGTCAGCCAGGGTCATCGGAGTGTCAGCCACATGTGAACAAATGTGTAATTGATGTTGGGACGGCCCCAGCATCCCCCGCCGCTCCACCCCCGCCCCTCACCCCCTCCTCTCATAACAGAGAACACAGAGTCAAGAATGAAAAGGCTAAAAGAGACAAACGATATCCCCGACGGAGGATACGCTTCAATTTTGTCCCTTTTCTCCTGCCAGCTATGTTTCAGCTCTCCCCGCTGATGTAATTGCTCTCCCCACACGTCGGGCAGCCCAGCGGGGGAAGGTGGGGGGGTGGCATGCAGGAGACGGGCACCTTTTGTTTCCTGATTTGTACGGGCGTTTGAAGATAAAGGCAGATGACTGGGGAGACGCATGTCAGGTGTTTTCCAGAAGGTAGCATTGTCACGCCGGGGAGAAGTGGGCTCAGCCGACTAGGCAGGCAGGGGCCGCCCGGTTTGTCCGGTTCTGAGGTGTTTCCAGTCCCCCAAAGGGTCCGGGGGCCGGTCACAGGGCCCCCTATGAGGCCGACTCGCTGCGCGCTCCACATCTCGGGCTTCAGGCAAATCCGACCCCAAAAACGTCCGGAGGGGGGAAAAAGGACCCGACGAGTCTGGGGAAAAGGGTACAGGAGCCTGTTAGAAGCCATTTTTTTCCTGCTCTGTCCAGGTGGAGAGACCATAAAGAACATCAAGGAGCAGTCCCGCGCTCACGTGGAGCTGCAGAGAAACCCACCGCCCAACACCGACCCCAACGTGCGCATCTTCTCCATCCGAGGCACCCCCCAGCAGTTGGAAAAGGCCCGTCAGCTGATCGACGAGAGAATTGGGGTAGGTGGTCCGGCCTTAGTCCCCACAGTGACTTCAACCCCAACCCCCCCCCCCCATCCCCAAAATGCTATTGTCTGGCCGGATATTCATGAGCGCACATGTCAATGCACGGAGCTGCTGGAGTTGAGCTAGGCCGCCGTGGTCCTGGTGGCCGGCAGGATGTCACCAGAGGTTAAACATGAAGAATCCATCAAATGGACTTAATGGAGTGCATCAGCGCTCGCCCATGCCCTCTGACCTTGCCTGTTGGCTCCCTTTAAACACAAGTGTGGTCTCTCACTCGCCTCCTCTTCTTTCTCCTAAGGGTCCGGGGATGGGGGGCAACAGCAGCTTCAGTATGAATCCCTACAACCAAGGACCGGCCACGCCTCCTCAGCAGTAAAGCCCAACTTCTCTGCTCCTCACATGCCACTATTCTTTTTTTTTTTTTTTTCCTTTTTTTTTTTTTTGCTTTTTTGGTTCAAAAGTGTGTTTTTTGTTTTTTTTTTTTTTTTTTTTTTTCCCATATATTTTCTGTGCATCTTTGGGTTGAAAGTGTGTTTTTTGTTTTTTATTTATTTATTTTTTCAATTATTATAAAAAGTGTGATTTCCTTTCTGTGGTTGAAACGTTATCTTGATCAAATGACTTCTGTCTCGCTTGAAGTGGGCCTCAGACATTCATGACTGGAGGATGGGGCTCAGGGATGGGTTTTCAGATCTGGCAACCCCAAGGCCAGCAGGACCACAGTAAGTATTTTAGCCAAGGTGCTGCTGGGACCTGCCCTTATCAGGCTGACCATACCCTGCCGGATTGGACAGGAAAACAGAACTAGATTTTAAAACGTTTGCTTCCTCAAACCAGCCTTTGACAGCCCAAGCTCAGAACGTGGAGCTGTTGAGGAGCTGTTGAGCATTCAAAGCGCTCAGTGATGACGGGCACTTCCCCCGTGGCTAACCACAGCCTTCCTGTACCGACACATTTTTACATTCTCTGTCAATGGAACTCATTTGGAAGCAGACTTGTAGATGAGGGCAGAAGGTAGAAAGCGGGAGAAGTCAGATCCACTCTGTGTAACTCTGGCTTTATCTGTGTCTGCTTTCAGGTCACAATGGATCCCAGACGGGCCAGATGGACTGGGAGCAGTATTATAAAAAGCTAGGCGAGTGTCACTCAGGAACAAAAGAATATTTAGCGCTCAGCTCCAGCTTCATTTTCCCCCTGCCTTTGCCAAACAAGTTTAGCTTCAGATTTTACTGGCAGCTTGTGCAGTTTTAAGGTAGAAGTTTTTACCTGCCTGGCGCGCCTGGTTGAGACAGGTTTTTAAAATCAGCAAGTAGGAAAGCTCAATGTAAGCTTTGTGTCAAAAAAGGAAAAGGCTGAAACGTGTGAAACTTTCTTGTTTTGCATCAGGTCAGCAGACCCAGGCCCAGAGCACCGCTCCTGAATACAACAAAGCCTGGGGTAGGTGCTCCTGGAGGCCTCTCCTAACCGGACCCCCCACAGGCCGCTCCCCGTCTCTAACGGGCTGCGCCGCTTTGTTCCCCTGCAGGGCAGACCGCTGGGCCTGGATCTCAGCAGACCTCCAATCCTGACTACAACGCCTGGATCGACTTCTACAGACAGCCCATGGCCTTCTTCAACCAGGGCGCTCAGCAGACACAAGCCCCGGGCCTTCAGGTGAGACCCCGCCCCCACACTAAGGCGCCCCGTCTCTGTCGGTTCGGCTTTTCAGAAACGCCATTGGCGTTTTTCTCCCGAAGGAATTTTAACCAGAAGAGTGGAGGGAATTCGCTTTACCGTTTAATGTTTTTCTTCCAGTACTTGTTTGTAAAGTTTGACATCGTTCTGTTTCCGTGAATGTCCACTAACACCAACCGCTGGAGTTTTGTCTCCTGCTAAACGGCAGCCTCCAGTGTGGAGGAGGCTGTTTTTAGGCTGCTCCTCCTTCAACGGCACACACACTGACAGTCTGTTTGTGTTCCGCAGGATCACTAGAGAAGATGGCCAGGTTAAAGACTTGAATCACTGAGTGGATGAAAACAGCCCTTTTTTTTTAACGGAGGGGTTCTAGATTTACAACGCCTTGAAGACTTTTTTTCTTAGTGAGAAACACTAGCTGTAGAATGACTTATACGATAAAGTAATATTTCTAAAATCAGGAACATTTATTTGTTACTAAATGCTTATGTACACTGTTATTTTGGATAGACAGTATGTGGGATCCCTTTTTGGACTTGAGAGAGCTGTTTTGTTTTTCTATATTTTCCTGTTTGACTCGGATTATAAACGCCAAAATGAACCCGAGAGCTGTAACATTTCAAAAGGCAATATGATCTATTTTTTCTAGTTCTGTGGAAATGAAACCATGACTATGTGCTTAGCAGTCTTGAATACGTCCAAATCATTTTTGTCATGTCATAAAAATGTGTGTTCAGATGTTTTTCTTTTACATAATTCATTGAAATTAAACTGTGATGTTTTGTTACAGGAAATGTATTTTTGTTACAAGGTTAAAAAAAAAAGGATTAATGTCAGCCAGTGGCAATAGTTCTGATTTAATTCCTGTTGTGCATTGTATGCTGTTTTTCATTGTCATTTTATTGTGCTCTGGTTTAAGAAAAAAAAAGAAAAGGTGCAATATCTTATTTCACTTTTGAAACAAAGATGAGTTCTCTAATATGTTGACAGATTTTTAACTTGTAGTTTTAAGATGAATTTTTTTTTCCTTCTTTTTTTCAAATGGAAATGTCATGGATAATTTATTACAGTGATCTGATTATGATAGGATTTAGGGGGATGTTGCAAATAGCTTTTTTGCCTTTACTACCTTGTAAAACTATGTATATATGCTCATATATTTGACTGTTAATTTAAGATATATATGTTTCATATATATATAAATACACATAATTTTTTTTTTTTTCCTGTGATCGGTGTTGCAGGAAAATTGTCCCTCTTTTTCTGTTCTGTTTTCATACTGAAAATGTTCAAAGATTGTGAATGTGTGATTTGAAATTTGATGTTGCATCTTGTTATGAAGAAAAACAAGAAGTAGTCGTTTTTTGTGTATACTCTGTACTCTGAACGATTCAAGACTGCTAAGCTTCTGCGATTCGCACCTGTGTAATAATTAATGTAGTATTTTTATGTTTTAAGTATTATCGGAAACTTTGTCTTATTTGGTACCTTCCAGTTCACCAGCGGCCCACTGAGCCCTCCTCGTGGACTCAGTGGGTCGCTGGACTCAGTCCAATGCTAATAACTTTTTAATTCATTTTTTATTTCTTTGTGTGATCTAATATGAATGATATAATTGCACCATTATGGCGAATGATTCTGGTATTAATGTCATTTCTTAATGAAAAGGGATATAATTTCAAAATGTCTAATTATGGTGTTTTTGTTTTTTCTTCGTGTGTACAGTTAACCATGTATTAAAAACATCCAGACTACCTTTATGTGTACTGTTAAGCTGATTTTTCTTTGGTTCGATAAATATTCTAAAAAAAAGAATTGGGTGTCTTTTGTTGTATTCTGCTACTGAAGTGTTGAATCTGCTCTACTGTGTGTACTAACAGTTGAAACATAGAGAATATATCAGCCAAATGTATGTTTTCATGTTTTATAAGCAAAATAATCTATATTTTCTATCGCAAACTGCCAGTTCTCAAAGTTAAATAAACGTTCGGCAAGCCTCTCTTGTGGTTGGCTTGTACTATCCTTACTGCGGAAGCTCCAACTCCCAACCCATGCTGCATATCTCACCTTCCTTCTTAACCTCAAAGGGCTTTTTACTGTCATTTAGTGGCTGCTCACTTGTCAAAGTAAGCTGCGAGAGGAGAGAGCCTGCGCATCTTTAGACGTGTATGTTAAAATCCTGGTTTTAGATTCACATAAATGACGATTTTTAGAGGAAATTTGAGTTTTCATTGATTTTGATCAAGTTTTTACTTTTTTTTTCTTTTTTTTTTTTTTTAAGAATTTTGTTGTTTTTAGCTTTAATTTTTGGTTCATTTTTGGTTGTCTGAACTGAAAGACTGCTTCAGGTTAGAGATTTTTTACAATTCTACACACAACCTCCATGTCTTAAAACTTAACTCCAGATGATTTGATTCTCACCATATCCTAACTAAGTTCTTTTTCTCCTCCAGTGTGCCTGTTAACTGCCTGCAGCACGTCCTCCCCTCAGAGAGGTCCCCTTAAACCCCCCCTCCCCTCACCAGAGCCCCTCCAGCTTTGTCGCTGCACATCTTTGCCCCCAGCAGGGAGGCTCCTGCCACAGTGGATCCTGCCTGGCCCCGTACCGGCTCCCGCTTTGATGCCGTGCAGCTGTTTCCAAATCCAGCCCTCAATTTTGATCCTCTTCCACTTAAACGTGTCGTCCCTGTGGACACGTCAGACCCGCTGGTCCTTTGTGGCCGCCTTCATATTTGCTCCGTTTCATCTGGCGGAGTGGTTCTGGAGAGCACGGGCCTTTCTCAGAGCCACCGGCCCCTGTGCGCCTCCTTTTCTGCTGCGGCGTTTTGACACTTCATGCAGTGCGCCGGGTTTAGAGAGGACGGCTGGCTTTATATGGTAATAAAGGTGATAGAAGGAGTTCATCCCTGTGAAAAGAGGATTTGGAAATCCCATATGACATAAGTGCCAACGTGTGCAATGCACAACAAACAAAACATTTCAGGGCTCTTTAAAAAAAAAAAAAAAAAAAAAAAGCAGACACCATTTAAAATAATTCAAAGCTGCTCAGCAGACAGTTTTTAGGCAGCACTTTGGACAAACTATTTTTCACAAATGTTTCTTGTGAAAAACATTTGAGTTATTTTGTGTTGCTCTGATTTAACTGGAAAAAGTGATGTCCTTAAATATGTCCTAATTGTGTTTTCTTTTTGGCTGGGTGTGTATGTTTTTTTATTTGGTGTTTTGAGGTGTGTTTTTCATCCTTGGGCAATTCATTTAATTCTGTGACAAAACTAGACAGAAAAAAAAGAACATGACACATCTTGTAAAAACCCTTCACAGTAATAGTGTCCACTTCTTTTCAGAGAAGTGGACACAAAGAGAAATCTTTACATGCTTTTAGGAGAGGATTAATCTTTTTAATCCCAAATTTCGTTATAAAATATGCATTTTCATTATTTGAATATGTTTTAATTTATCTTCTTTGAAGTTTTTTTTATTTTTATGTACACCTTTATTTAAAAGAGACTTCACCAGCTGCTTTGTAAACTCATTTTTAAGACGAACTTATTGTAATACTTTTTTTTTTTTATAAGCCTCAAATTGAATCTCATTTTTTCGTCGTCAGGAAACGTCCCCGTTGTGTATTTTGTTTTTTCTTTTTAAAATGGTGTGTGTAGTTACTAAAACGCAGAATCTGACTGTTTGCGTTCAGATTTATCCACTAAATCTCAAACAGCATTTTATGACTCTCCTGGGTCTCCTCACGGATACGCATGAATACATTTTCCTTTTCAGATTCTCAGTTCAACATAAAATAGACTCCAGTGTCAGTTTTTTATATATATATATATATATATATATTCTAAAGACGAAAGAAACTCAATTAAAAATAAGTTTACAGGCAAATTGTCTAATTTAGTTTTCCAGTTAAACCGGCTTATGGCCTTTTAATAATTCATTCTTGTGACAATTCTGCCATCGACAGGGGGGGGGGGGCGAGGGGGCGACGGTATTTAAAAACTGTTTTCTTTTCAGCGTGGATGAGGGTGCACCTCCACCTCCTGCGCGTCCAGCAGGTGTCCCACCCCCCCCACCCCCCACACACACACACACACACCCTGTCCCGTCCCGTCCGTCAGCGGAGGGGAGGAGGAGGAGGAGGGACAAAATGGGATCTTTAGGGAGAGGAAGGACTGCACGGCTCTCACCTTTGCAACAGATAAGCCGATCCCGAGTATCCAGCCCACTGTGGCGGCTACCTTAATCTGCTTTTAATGACACTGCGCACGGTCCCCGGGGACGAGCGCACTATATATGCATGAGAGTGTGAGTGTGTGTGTGTGTGTGTGTGTGTGTGTTTCTCCTCCTTCAGACCTGACAGTCTCGTTATTCCAAACGTGTCAATGAAAGCGACCCCCCCCCCCCCCACCACCACCAGCACGCCTGCCTCCCAACAACACTTTTTTTCACCACTTGGAGAAAAGAAAAGAAGAAAAAAAAGAGAAAAAACACCAAACGAACTCAACCTCCATTGTCCTTTTTTCATAACTTCCTCTTTGTTTCCAGCTATTGTTTCGCTAAAAAACTTTGAATGTCCAATCTGTTGCTGAGCTCGGGGGTTTCTCGGTCTCTCCCCGGGCTGCTGCTTTCTCCCCCTGATGAGCGTAAAACTCCACCGTTCATCCCCCCAAAAAAAGAAAACCAAACGCCTTTCTTTCATAGGTTTCCCACCATCTCTTTGAAATCGAACCATTACCGCATTTCTTTGTGCAATAATTGTCAATCATCCACATTAAATTGATAGGCTTTAAATGGACAGAAGAATGGCTTAAATTGTCCTACAATGGAACAGCTAAGCGGGATGATTTGCTATTGCTGACATGCCCGCGGCTTTACTAGCTGCAGATAATGGCATAGGTTAATGCGCAAATGAGCAAATCAAATCCATGCGTTACCCCAATTCAATTCATTTAATTCCTCTTTAATAAAGAAGCGGCCCACCCCCCTGTCCCCCCCCCACCCCACCCCACACCACCACCACCCCCGCCATTTACCGTCGGATTTCGGCAATGAATGCTATAAATGTAAATCAATCTAGATGAGAAAGAATCCCATTGAAAGAGCAGAGAAATTTCATCTGGGAAAAGGAGACAAACGAAGGAGGGGCCCGCTCATAAAAAGCAGCTGTTTCACAGTAATCTTTTTTCGTGCCCTGTCACTCACCTTGCCTTTTCACTATCTCTGCTGCTCAAAAAAAAACGCCATTGTGTTTACTTGCCATATCTTCTTTCCCATTACTTTGCCACACAGTCCATATTCTTGTGGAGAGAAGAAGAAAAACAAAACAAAAACAACAACAAAAAAACAGAGAGAGCACAACTTGCCCGTTTTTTTTTTTTTTTTTCGGACAATCCCCCTTGTAGTTGTTGGAGTGAAAAGAGGAGTGCATGGATGTCAAATTGCCCTCAAAACACCATGAAAGATTGATTTGCAGCACTTTTCAGGGCCCTGACATTACTTGGAGGGGAGCTGAATGGGAAACCTGTGAGCCGGGGAGGGAATAAAGATGTCCTCTCTGCTGGAAAAGAAGGAAAACTGCCCATTTAGCCCTAGTCCATCAAGCCCGAAAAATAGGCAAGAGAGGAAAAAACACAGAGGACTGCGGCTATAGAGAAGAAAGGGGGGCATATATACTCATCTAAACGTCGCCACAATACCGAGGGGGCTCCGAACAGCCATGAATATTAAACCGCTTACCTCAACAAGGGCTTGAAAAAGTGCAGCACGTCAAAGCAGCTTTGCATTTTTTGCATGCGAACAATGTGGAGAAAAGGGGGGGCTTGTTTCCATTCTTGTTATTCCCGCGCTAAAAATTAATATTACGAGCACATGAATACCAAATGCCTGAGAAAAAAATGGACGAGCAACTCCCAGACTCCCTGACCCAGTTCTGCGCGCAGAAAAACGCAACTTATCACCCAAACTGAAAGCAGCCTCTCTTTTTTTCCTCCTCTCTCCCTTCTTATTCCGTCTGTTCGGCCTCTTTTCAACACCTTGTTGCATCCCTTTCAGCTATACGCACTTCACGCACGCTTCACTTTTCATTCATAAGAGCCACAGCGAGCTGTCAGTGCATTTGGGAAAAGTGTATTTCTCTTTGGGATGTTGGACATGTTGGATGTTCCGTGTCCTTTTTTCTTTTCAGAAACAGGGTCCATGAATATAAAATTTTTAAGAGTTTTTTTTTTCGTTGCAGTTTGGACTAAAGACGTTGAATTGCATGCCTGTTACTTAAGTTTGGTGCCCCCTTTCATGCGCATTGAGGTGTGTGTGTGTGTGTGTGTGTGCAGCAGAGCAGCAGGCTGGTCCACACGGCGAGGGGTGTGTCATTAATAAGTAATTAGACAGGGGTCACACCGCCGCTCATATAAAGAGACCCCCTCGCAGCCAGGCCGGGCAGCTTTGCGCGCACAGTTTGGAGCAGGAGGACGGACCTCAGAGCGGCTCAGCGTGTCCACTCCGCTTGCACCCATCTCTCCCCTCCAGTGTCTCGCGGCTCTCTCTCTCTCTATCTATCTCTGTTACTATCTATCTATCTATCTCCATCTCGTGCGGCATGGGCTCCGTGCTTCCAGCAGACGCTCTGGCTCTCAAGCCTGGATTTAAGTGTCCCAGCCGCTCGCTGTCGGACGTGATCACGTCGGACATCCTGCACAGCTTCCTGTACGGCAGGTGGAGGAACGTGCTGGGGGAGCACCTGGCGGAGGAGCGGCAGGGCAGCAGCAGCAGCCCCCGGACCGCCTTCACGGCCGAGGTCCTGGCTCAGTCCTTCGCCGGAGGTAGGTTCTGGGTGCGCGTTTCATCCTCAGCTCCCATCCTTGTCTGATTCTCGGAAGTCCTCACTGCAGATTTGTTATGCTTTTCTTAGAGATTTGATTGCTTTTTTAAGATCACATGTGCGTAAATGGCGCCGTATTTCATCCTTATTTGCCAACATTTAAGAAAAAAAAAGTTTCTGAAACCAAACGTTTCAACAAATCTCCACCTCCAAGCTCCCGTTTCTTGCTGTCATGTGGAAGCATCTTTCCCACACATATATTTTGGACAGCATCTTAGAACTTAACATAACTTTCCCCCAACTTTCAAAGTTTTCCCGGAGATTCGGTGGCGCTTTTCCCTCTCTTTCTGCTGCTTTTATTTCGATCCATTTAGCGCATTAACCCCTTCAGAGCCCTGAGACCCCGCGTTTAGAAGCTTGTTAGGCGTGTAACTGCCGCTGATTGAAAGACGCAGAGCATTAAATTCATTTGGTTAACTTTGTGCTTGACCTGGGAAAGTTTCCACTTAAACCTCGCGCGGAGAAAGGTTTCCTTTCTTTGAGATGTCCCGAGTTTTTATCCCGCATTCATCAATCTCCGGACAGTCTCTTTTCCTCTCTTGGCAGCTATGGGGCTCCGGAGCTTTTCTCTTTCTCTCCCCTTAAAAGATTTGCTGTTCCTCGCATAATGCACCGTGAAGGCTAAATCTAATGCTATTCATTGCATGTCAACCATCTAATCGCCTTTCCATTTTTTTGTTGAAGAAATTCCTGAGTCTTTTAAACAAGTCTTGGTTTCATTCAGCGCAAATTTATTGCTACAAAGTTCTTAAAAGGATAATGAATTTGGAATTAGCCGTTCCTTTTCCAGTAAACTTTAATGAATATCACATCTGAAGCATGACAAATTGCTGGACCCCGAGCAATAGAGGACCATTTAACCCCTATTCGGTGGTGTTTTTCACTGCCTGAATCTGAAAAAAAACAACAAAAAACTTTGATTTTGACATTAAAGAAGCACCTTTTTTTTCTTTCGCCTCTTTTCTGCTGCGAATAAAAATGCTTCCCGAGGGGGGGGTTTGCACAACAAAAACTTTCAATCCAACCAGATAATCGAATTAAACGGAGGATAAGATAAATAACATCCAGTTCATTTGCTGCTTTCAGGACTTCTCAAGGAATCCTGTTTCTTGAGACTCTGACCTTAAAAAAAGGCTGAATATTAAACAGAAAACGTCTCTTTTGAAGCGCAGCACTTTGGTGAATGGAGGCTGTATTTTTCTGTGTGGATGCTTTGGGTCCTCGCTGACGGTCCGCCCGTGCGTCTTTGCAGAGGTGCAGAAGCTGTCCAGCCTGGTGCTGCCCAGCGAGGTGATCATCGCCCAGAGCTCCATCCCCGGAGAAGGCCTGGGCATCTTCTCCAAGACCTGGATCAAAGCCGGGACAGAGATGGGGCCCTTCACGGGGAGGCTCCTGTCCCCTGAGCACGTGGACCTGTTCAAGAACAACAACCTGATGTGGGAGGTGAGCACAGAGTCCAGTGGGAGTCGGGCTTTGATTAGATTTTTTTTTTAGTTTTTTTTCTCACGCGTGGGTTTGTGTTCTTGCGCCAAATCAGGTGTTCAATGAAGACGGCACGGTGCGCTACTTCATTGATGCCAGCCAGGAGGACCAGCGCAGCTGGATGACCTACATCAAATGCGCCCGGAACGAGCAGGAGCAGAACCTGGAGGTGGTGCAGATCGGCAGCAGCATTTTTTACAAGGCCGTGGAGGTGAGGACAGAAACAGGCCTCTGGGCCTATCAGACTTTTAAAGATTTAAATATCCTATACTCAACCTTTTCTGCTATATTATCAGGAAAATCATTCACCTAGGCTTGATTACTTAAGTTAAATTCCTTTAAGTTAAGGTATTCTCATGTGAACATCTTAAATACAGACAGAAACACAAGTTCCCTGCACCTAGGGGAATATTTTCTGCTTCTGCCAGTATAGATGGTGTCTTAAATGGAAAATCAAAAGTCCTGAAAAAATATATAATCGGAAAAATTATTTTAAATCACACCCTAAATAACCCACTTTCCTGCTTCCTTCCCTCCTCAGACCATTCCACCAGACCAGGAACTTTTAGTTTGGTATGGAAATACACACAACACGTTCTTGGGAATCCCTGGAGTTCCTGGAACTGATGAGGAACACCAAAAGAAAGGTAGAACTGGTAAGTTTAAATCTAAAAAAATTGAAAATCCATTTTAAAAAAGAGTCTTAACTTTGTTTTTTTTCTGACCAAGAAATCTTGACATGAGCCGAGGCAATGTTCAAAACGCTTTCTCTTTTGTCTACTCCCCCAGATGAACCTCACTCCAGTGATGGGCCTTCCTCTTGCTCCCCCCCCTCCTCCTCCTCCTCCGTGTCCTCCTCAGCCTCCGCGGGCCGGATGCGCTGCGTCATCTGCCACCGCGGCTTCAACTCGCGCAGCAACCTGCGCTCGCACATGCGCATCCACACGCTGGACAAGCCCTTCGTGTGCCGCTTCTGCAACCGCCGCTTCAGCCAGTCGTCCACGCTGCGCAACCACGTGCGCCTGCACACGGGCGAGCGGCCCTACAAGTGCCACGTCTGCCAGAGCGCCTACTCCCAGCTGGCGGGCCTCCGCGCGCACCAGAAGAGCGCACGGCACAAGCCGGTGGCGCTCAGCGCGGACGCCCCCCCGCAGGCGTCCCCCCCTCCCCCGCAGCTGGCAGCCATGCAGCACCAACTGCCCCTGGTGCACCACATCCCCACCATGGTGCTATGATGGCAGGCGGGGCACGCGGAGAGGGACCGTGGCGCGGAACGTTGCACTTTAGTTGTAGAGCCCTAGTGGATAAGGCCAGGGTGCCCCCCCCCCCTATCCCCCTTACCCCCACCCCAACCAGGACACAGCCCTCACAGGGGGGAGAGACAGAGGAGATGATTGTGAAGCATCTGTTCATATTTTTAGCCTTATTCGTATTGCTTCGTCCTTTGATACTTTGGTTAAAATGGCAGCACAGAGCAAATGTACATTTATTTTTTGTTGTTTTTGTTTGTTTGTTGTCACAACTCTCACCAGCTCAGGTGGACAGCGTCCTCTGTCAAAGCTTTGTACAGCCATTAGATGTAAGGGACCAGCTGCATTGCTCCACTCCGTTAAGCAAAATTGTCACTTTAAACATGTACAAACTGGGCTCTTTGGAGAATTGTGTAACTGTAAAAGTGTATTTGTACATGTGAATGTAAATACATTTGTGCTTTCTTCTATTCTAAATAAATAAGATGATATGCTGGATTTCAGCTGTCCTGTGGTCTACATCATCAGTGTTTACGCACAGGATGAGGAGGAAGGTATCAGGTGACCCAGATTTAGGCACCCAATTCAGACCCAGACAAAAGATTATTGAAGGCTTCCTATACACCACACCCTGGTGGTATTCAATAACACAGGATAATTGGCAGACAAATGTTTCCAACCTTTAAGTCTGAAGCTGGTGTCCTCCTTTCCTGCGTGTCAGATACATTTTCCTCTGACATTCTTGAAGAACACATGTGTAATCACCTCAAAAGAATGACTGCAGCTTTGCTTTTTTCTGGGCTTGCTTTGCTGCAAAATGCATAGCTTCAAAAATATTCCAACAAACATATTTAGGTCAAACACATATTTGTTTCACTTGTAAATGAGTAACAGCTGAAGAACATTTTAACACAGAGATGAAGAGTTCTTGTTAAAAAGGTCAAATAACTCAGCAGAAAGCAGACTTTTAAAAAGAAACAGACACAAAAATTATTTGAAGTGAACATAAAACATATGAAGATTTTAGTTTCACTGTCTTTCCAAAGGGCACAAAAAGAGAAGAGCTGAAGTTCACGGTTAAATCCCATTAAAATTCGGGGGAAAAAAGCAAAAACGTGTAAACTGAAAGAAAACAGAATTTCAAGCAAAAAAATATATTTTAAATGAAAACAGAAATTGAACACTAAAATAAAAAAATTCCAAAACTGGAGAAAACAAAAACAAACGTTAAACCTTAAATAACTCATAAACTGAAAGAAGAAATTCGAACAGAATTTTTTTTCCCAATCATTTCAAACTTAGAAGATATATTAAAAACTTCAAATGCAGACAAAAAAGATGAAAAAATGTAATACAAATTTCAAATGGCAATTAATATTTTAAAACTGAAAAACAAACCGAAGAGGAAAGGTTTGAAACTGTGAGTATAATCAGAAACTTAAATGAATACTGAAAATATGTTAAAAAAAATCTGTACAACACATTTTTTTAATCGATTGTAACTGTAACTGAAAAAACAACCAGAAACAGAATTAAAACTCAAAACGAAGAAAAAAAGTTTAAATCCGAAAATAATTTTGAACTGAGAGGTAATCAGAAACTGAGAAAAAAACGCGGAAATGACGTCATCGCACCGACCCTTAAGGTATGCATACGCGAAAGAAACCAGAAGTGACATAATCACATTTTCACGAAAAATTTAGCAAATATGTTGCTGTCATACCAAAAACATTCTTAAGGGTTATAATTATTATATACAATTGAAAGAATATGAATATTACTTTAACAGGTAAGAGTTTTCTACTTGGACTGAGGAAATGTGACCTAAATGCAGAATCTTCATATGTTGTTAACTTTTTCAGTATTTATGTTACATATCACATTCACACTTCCAAATATTTACATCAAACGCCTAACTTCCAGATGTTAAATATTCTTTGAATATATAATATATAATCTTTAAAATTAAGTTCAAATCCTAAAGCCATTCAAATGATAACTTTCCTTGAAAAACGTCAACCTTTGAGCACCGATCAGATTTTTAAATTTTAACCTACCTGTTCTATGTTCTGTACTAAGTCTAGTTATTACAGAACTAGGTTTTGTATGAAGTATTTGTGCGTTTCCATGTTCTATATTGTTCTATGCATGTATGCTTTTTGTTTGCAATTAAAAAAAAAGATGTTTTCAACACAATTGGATATGCTTGCATAAAAAATGAACAAATTTGATTTTTACTTTTTTCTTTTTCTTTTTTATAGTAGATGTGCATCTCATATTAAATTTTAACAGGAAGAGACAACTTGTGGGAACTGAAAATGACCATCTGCTGCCACTGTGTGGCTGGTTTTGTTTAATGTTTTGAGCGTGTTAAGAGCCAGATTCAAGTGCCACAATTGGCACAAAATACCTTTAGCTTTAGAGGTCTGTGAATGAGATGAAAATGAAAGTACATTAAAAAATGAGCAAGAATGTTTGGAAATAGGGGTCAAGGAACCAATAGCTGCTCTACTGCCCCAAGGCCTTCCACATACTCTGTGCCTGCCAACTCATTGTTGTCATTTTAAGATTTTAGATTCCACAAAAGTAAGATGACAACGTTAGCTCCTACATAATGGTCACTCAGGAAAAGAGAGTAATGACGTGACTGAAACACATTTTCGTTCAGAGGCTTTTTAGTTAAGAAGGTTAACATGTTTTATTTTAACCTATTCAGTGAATGATACAACAGAGTGAATACTGTACCTGTCAGCTGTCAGACAATATCCAGCTTCCTAACAAGGAGCTTTCAGACAAGTCATCATTAAAACAAGTACAACAAACACAGTGTTGTCATGGAGCAGAGCTTATCATGCTACGGGTGTCTGATCTTGCTGGGAGCCTCTATGAAAGATCTTTGGATTTAGATTTTCCATAACTGCAGACCGTCCACACCCTCTGTGCTGCACAGTGAGAAAAAGCTTCAGTAAGATGTCTGTAGCTTCTCAAAAATCAACCAAAGACAAGTTAACCAAGCTCACCTCTACACGGGTATGCTGAACGTGTCCCATTCTCCACGGAGGGACGACAGCAGGAAAATATCTTGATAGCTGCATGACGCAGAGCTGAAAGAGAGCATTATCAACACTTTGTCATATCAGATATGTTGCTGCCTCCAAGCCTGTTCTGCTGAGATAATGTATCAGCCAACCTGATCCCATCAACGTCAGGTTTAACAGTCTGCTTCACATGCAATGCATTTCTTTGTCAAGGTTTTGCCGACAAAAGTAACGCACACGAGTTTACAACTTACCGGAAAATATCTGTCAAAGCATAGTTTCTGATTTTAAAATTTCCTTTATGGTTCACTCTTCAAATATGAGTCTGCTCACTTGTTGTTTGTGCTCCTAAGAAGACAGTGACACAGCAGTTTCACTGTCTCCCCTGGTCCTCCGACAGATGCCCACAATGGGATCATTTAACCTGGAGCTACCACACACACACACACACACACACACACACACACACAACCACATGCACACACAGAAGGATACGGTTACTAACAGACATGCTTACCCAGAATTACAGTAACATGTGGCATGTTTATTAGTCTAATTCACTGGTATAGTGTTGTTTAATGTTGTTTTTTTTATTTTTACCTATTTTGAGCTGTACGTATAGACTGTACATGTGTCTATACACTTGTGTATACTCTATGGATATACATACTCACACATACAGCTCTGGTCGTCTACCAGAGACCCGGGAGCACCAGGTCTCTGGAGACCAGGTCTCTGGTCCTCTGATACTTTTAGGCTCTCATCTTCATCATAGCTAAAAAAAAAAAAACTAAAAAAAACATTAACGTTATTCATATTGTTATGAGCCTGATTATCTGAACATAAAAATAATACATACTTCCATAAACGCCTCATTAAACACATTCATGCTGAAATTAATATTTCCACTGTGATTTTCAACCATGTTCATTTAGATGTGTCTTATTTTGCTCACTTACATTTAGTATGGCCAATTCACTAAAATATATCTGCGAAGTCTTTAACCAACATGATCGATGCTTCATTGATTGAGTCTGCCTGGCTCAGCGATGACTCTGCCATCTGCAGCCGGGTCTCGACAGTTAACCACTCTAGTAGGATTGTTGTCATTTTTCTGTGGCTAGCCTTTAGCGCTGGCCAGCCGTTCGGTTTTTCTCCCCAACACACTTTGATCCAGCAGGTGGGTGTCAGTTTATGTGAACAGTTTTTCACGACACCACGCTAAATAACTCGTACAACAGTCGCCTTGTTTTATAAGAGTAAGCGGCCTGCTTTTAATTTAAATGTCGGGAGCCAAAAGTTGAAAGCAAACGTCGGCTAACAGCTAGCTGTCTCGTTAACAAGTTAGCTAGTTTAACGCTAGCATGACAGAAAAATCTTTATAGCTCAGCTTTGACATAAACTCGTACTTCTGGTTAACGGAAACCGTAACTCGTGCACATAGCGGGGCGACTAATGTATCATTTGCCTGTAAGGAGGCCAGCTTGGTGTTCTTTGAGTGTAAACAGTAACTTTTTACATATGTTCAGAATAAAAAAATGTCCATGTTAGGTCAAATTTGTGTTTGCAGGTGACAAGGCAATTCAGGAAAATTTGACAGGCTAAACTAAGAGGTGGGGGTATGTTTTTTCAAAAGAATTTCATATGAATTAGTTGAATGTTACGCTGCTTTATCTTGTGTTTCAGGAAATTGGAGGCTAGCTTGGGTCTGTTACGGCAGACTCCAGTTAGCAGAGATGTGTGCCAGAAAATCTGGCTGTTATCATAATTATACATTAATCCCGCTGAATCATAAAAAAGTGCAACTTGAATTCTTGTAAAAATAGTTCCAGAGCGATACGTTTGAATTATTTAAGCCCAAATCGCAAAAACGAACACGGTAGCGTTTCTGAGTGTCACGGGTTTCACATTTATATTTTGTATGGGGTTTATTCTGAATTTACAGCTGCTATAAACAGACGATCATCTCACACACACAGACACACAATACAGACACATACTGAGGGTGTGTGTACTGCAACAGGTGGCGAGGTGCTGTTCCTTTCGTGTGTTTCTCTTTTTCTTTCTTTTTCTCCAGTCCTTAGAGTAGCTGACCTCAAAGGAGGAAATCACCTATGAAACAGTCCTTATATTTAGATCACTAAAAGTACACATTTGGGCCGTATGATTAAAGCTTTGTTGCTCATCTTAGATTTTACAAAAGTATTTGAACCAAATGAAAACTAATAACCCCTCTAGGTGATAATAACTTCTATTTACTTCTTTTTGTACATCTGAGATGATTGTGGTTGCAAATAATTTCTGTTGTTGTTGTTTTCCCAACAGAGATGGTCAACATTTGAGCTGAGTAAATGTGAGTGTACATCCAAATGTGTTGGAACAAAATGAAATATGTGAAGATCTGTGGTGTTTTTATGTGACCAGTCTGTAATACTGCAGCAGCAGGTTTTTAGCACCAGCTGATTCTGGAATGAATCCAGTTCTTAGTTATATTGATTAAGTTCTGTAAGAAACTGTTACACAACGGAAATAAATCGACCTAACGTGCAAAAATAAGTAGTTTCTGCTTGTTTGAACTTCATAGATAAAAGACAAGTGTTTTGACCTGTTCAGAACATAAAAGTGGAGGCACACAGGAGTCTCACACCCAGGTTTTTCATGTTTTCCTCAGGATGTTAGGATGGAGTGTGGTCCAGTTCTGCCGGACAGCTTGGTGTTGGAGATTTTCCTGCGTCTGCCCCACGATGCGGTGCTGAGAGCGGGGCTGGTGTGCAGACAGTGGCTGGCTGTCTCCAGAGATGAGTTCCTGTGGAGGGAGCTGTTCTACAGCTACTACCACATCCCACGCTCCGTGCCCCGGCACCCATGTAAATATTTTCAAATCATGTTTCGCAGAAAAATTCGCTACTAGCCTCCGCAGATGTGTTTAATGAAGCTGGGCTTTGTGTCATGAACTGTGTCCGCCTGTGCACAGCGTCCGTGTCGTGGTACAGGGAGTTCAAGCGCCTGTTTGACTGCATCCCCTGTGTGGAGGTGCAGACGCTGAGGGAGCACAGTGACCAGGTTCTCCACCTGGCTTTCTCCCACAGGGGTCACCGCTTCTCCTCCTGTTCCAAAGACTGCACAGTTAAAGTAAGGAGTGGGCGTTTACGTGTTTTACTTTCATCCTTTGTCTTGATTTGTTTCTGCCAGCCGGACACTTCATTTTGTGGCAACTAAATCACTTTATTTTTCTATTTATTTTGTTCTCACAGCCACATAATAATTAAACCAACCGGAACAGGTTTAAATCACCCCTCCAGTTTAGCTGAATCTAATTTTAGTGGAGTTTTGTTCAGTGTGTGTGCATTTCTAAGAAATTTACACATCCTGAGGCAAGGACTTTCCTCTGGATCACATTTCCATCAGCAAAACAGCCTTTCTGATGGATTTTATTAGAATCTCGAATCTCTTGGCTCTTGTATTTGTTCTTTCAGATTACTTTAAAAGTGTTTTCCCCCCCTCTTTTTCACACAGCCATCCTCCCATTTCTTTGTAAACCTTTCTTTTCTCTTCTGTGCAGCTGTGGGACACCGAGCGCCCCGATGGAAACATCGCCTTGGTGCACAGCTCCAGCATGCGTCAGTTTAACTGGGGCTACACTCAGTTTTCCCAGTTCAACGCTGACGACAGCCTGCTGCTGGTCTCTGGTGTTTACCTGGGCCCGCACCACTCATCGTCTGGGGAAATTGCCGTCATTAGTCTTGGTGGGTGTGCGAAAAAATGAGTCATTTCCTGTTTTTGTGTCTTTAGGATTATTTTAAGGTTCCTCCTTCATTGGATTTTTCTTTTCTTCCTACACAAACCACTGTTTGTGAACAGGCCTGAATGAGATACATTTAAATGACTAATTTTAAGAGATGATATATGCAGCCACTTTGATATTGTTTTCATATTTAACTAACAGTTTTTTTAAGTTTACAAAATGTATGCACATGAAACTGTGTTTCCACACAATACAGAAAACTACACGCTGCTGTCTCGGGTGAGGAACAAGCCATACGACGTGTTTGGCTGCTGGCTGAATGAGACCCACCTGATCTCTGGTAACCTTCACTGGATCGGCAACATGACGTCCTGTTCGGTGCTGTGGCTCAACAAAGCCTTCCAGGTGAGCTGGCAGGCTGCTGGAAGACACTTTGAATGCTCCCTTTGCACTAGTTATCATCAACGTAATTATTTTGGAACACTTAAAGCCACTCAGACACGTCAGATATGAAAGAAAAGAGTTTGGTCTGACTACTGCCTTATTCAAATGCACAGTTTGATTGTTTGTAGAGCCAAAGACTTCCACAACTCCGCCATCTTCATCGTTTCCCCTTTTCACATCAGGATATCGAATCGGAGAACGTCAACGTGGTCAAGCGCCTCTTCAAAATCCAAAACGTCAACGCCAGCACCATTCGCACAGTGATGGTGGCCCACTGCCGTCGCCACGACAACCCCGACCTCCTGCTGGACTACGAGGCTCAGTCTCAGGCCAGGAGGCAGAGAGGCGAGCAGCACCACCAGCCACTCCTCTTTGACCTGGGGACCTCGGGGAGCGAGGAGGAGAAGGAGGAAGAGGAGGAGGAGGCTCAGAGGGAAGGACAGGGTCGCAGCTTCTCCTCTGCCCGCCAACCCACCATTTCAAGCCTGGACCACGTTATCCATGTAAGGCGCTTCTTAAGACTCTTGGTATGTCCCCCCCCCCTCATTCTGCCTCACGTCTTTTATCTGTTTGCCTCACACGTAGAGTCTTAAAAATGTTGGGACCAGGGAGATGAAGATTGAGACCCATGTAGCTAAGGTGATGGGCAGGGCCCACACCAAGGCCCCCGACCCCGCCCTCATTGAGCCCTCAGAGTCTGGGGATGGAGAGGATAAGACCTACTTGCTTTTCACCACCGGCAGCCTTACATACTCACCACACCAGATAGGTAGGATTTTTTGGAGAGCTGCTAACGCTGGAGCACGTGACAGCATGTCAGAGTCACGGGGCTGCTCCTCTCTCTCTTTAGGCATTAAACGAATCAAGCCCGACCAGATGACCACCTCCGGTCCTGTACTTGGAGAAGAGCGGAGCTCTGATGAGTTCTTTGATTCACTGGACCATGTCATAGACATCCACGGGCACATCATCGGCATGGGCCTCTCTCCAGATCACAGGTGAATGCATCAAGACATAGGCTGCAAATACTGCTCACTCAGCCGTTCTCTCCAAGGTGGTCGGATCCTGAACGGGAGCAAATCGCTTTGTCTATGTCACATGTATTTTATTTTAGCCTTCTGAAAATGCATGGAATAGCTTCCTGTCGTTTTCCACAAACCTTAAAGGACTCAAACAACTGTGCAGACTGTTTGTGAGGTCAGGCTCCAACGGGACTCTCCTCCTCCTCCTCCTCTGCTCAGGTACCTGTATGTGAACAGCCGGGCTTGGCCAGCGGGATGCGTGATCTCTGACCCCATGTCTCCGCCTCCCATCGCCGAGGAGATAGACCTGCATGTCATCGACCTGAAGAGTCTGCGGGAGGAGAGAAGAAGCCTGCGGGCCCACCGGGCCTTCACGCCCAACGACGAGTGCTTCTTCATTTTCCTCGACGTCAGCAGAGACTTTGTAGCCAGGTGAGTGGGCTGGAATGGAGGTCACTCATGCAACTTTTTAAAACCTGATTTGCCACGAAATTATTACAAGTTTATTCACCACTATTTAGGTAGCATTTCTATTTTAATACAGACAAATCTGGAGTCTAGTACACAACGGCATAGCGCCTAAAAAGTATTCAGTGCTCACGAATGAGTCCTCTGCTTGCAGTGGAGCCGAGGACAAGCACGGCTACATCTGGGACCGCCACTACAACATCTGCCTGGCCCGCCTGGCCCACGACGACGTGGTGAACTCGGTGGCGTTCAGCCCCGCTGACCAGGAGCTGCTGCTGTCGGCCAGCGACGACTCCACCATCAAGGTGTGGCGCTCCCCCCGCATGGTCCGCCTGGCGCAGGCCGCCCCCCGGCCCCTGAGGAGCCGCGGCCTCCTGCCGTCCTGGCTGAGCCGAAACAGGAACCCCCCGTCCCCCGGAAGCGTGAACGGAAGACCCTGAGCGGGGTTGGCCTTTCATCCGGGGGGGGGACGGAGGGAAGGAGAGGTGGGCGATTTCCGCTGTGGTGTGACTGGTGAAGCACTCACTGCAGCGTGGCGGTTACAGTTAGTGGTTTTCGCTCGACCTCGTGGCGCGGCGACCTGGAGTAGTGGTCAGGGGTCTTCAGCCAGCGAGAGACGAGAGTCTCAGGGTTCATACACAAGGGGGCGACGAGGCGCCGTCAGAGGAAGGACGAGTTAGCAGAGGTGCTTAGATCACAGATGACACCTAAATGCACAGGATGGAAGACCTGAAGTGTCCCGATAAGACGGTCGTTGCCCCCCCACTTTTCTTTTTTTTTAAGAAAATAAAAAACCATACCGTTACCTCCTCATCAGACCAGACTCTGGACCCCGGACCTGAGATGTAAATGTGTGCAAGAGTACTGCAGAGACACCTCTGATCATGGTTGTAATGTCCTTCTTTTCATGGGCAAAGTGCAGTAACTGAGATTTGTTTTGGGTTTTTTTTTCCTTATTGACAAAAATATCTAATTGGTGTCTTGATTCTAAAATCTCTGTGAACCCTGTTTTGAGAGCAATATAAAACAGTTTGAAAAAAAAGGGAGAGAAAAAAAAACGTTTGAGCTGTATTTAATGTGGTTTCCTTTGGTTTTATCGATGTCACATCCCACAGGAATGATCCGTGGTTGGTGTATTATGTCCATTGACAGGTTCATCTAAAAGTTTCTCCTTTAGCTGACCGTTCCAGTACCTATGTAATGTGGAAATGTTTAAAGCCCCCCCGTTTAGCCGCGCAAAGCTGCAGCTCTTCATCTGGTCAGATGGTTTCCTGACACATTTTAAGAGGGGGGTGAGAAAAAAAAAAAGAATGCCCGTTTGACTTTTGTGGATTGAAAACATATTTAAATGTTCTTGTACTTGCACTTGACAGATGGTTTGTGTAGTTTCTAAACAGAACACCCCCACTCCCCCAAAACTCTGAAATCCTAATGTAGAGAGAGTTTGCTGCCTGATTATTTGGTAACCTTTTGCCAGCCCCAGGGTTTTTTCAGAGGTTTTTACCCTTACCCTTATTATTTATAAACCTTAAGCAGATGCTTGATATGTATTGTTAGAGTTGTATTACCTTTACACTAATGTTAAATTACTAATCTTTTTTTTTAAAATCCTTGATTGGCTGTAAAAACAAGTATCTTCAGGGTATTGTCTGTTTTGTTTCCACCCAATTGAAAGAAGACATCACCCACCATTGTCATAATTTGGACTGAGCAATAAGAATGAAATATATATATATATATTTGACAGACATTTCAAGCAGCAGAAGCTCATCCATTTCAGTCATCTAAAAATGACTGTGACGACCGTTAAAACCCAAATCTACATTTGTCTTGAAACTTTGTGTGTAGCTTTTTATTTGCGTTAACTTTAAGTTCCGTTTTCTGTGAACTCCCAGTTTCACCTGAAGAAAAAAGAAAGAACGACAAAACTGCCCCATTAGTTTTAGTTTCACCGCTTGGGGAGTTTCTGGTGCTCATTCTGAAACGGTGCCGTTCTGTGTGTGTGTGTGTGTTTGTGTGATCCAATCATTTGCTTTCAGTCATTCTAATCTTTTAATTTGTACGTTTGATGTCAGCTTCATCACTTCTGTCAAAGTGACCAGTACTTTCGTTTCTTTGAAACGTGTGTAACAAGTCATGAACTTTACTCTGGGTTCCCTTTGACTCCATAGTTTCCCTTTCCATCTCTCTGATTGTGATTCTTTTTCTCTGATGTTATTGTCATAGCTCCCCTTAAATAAAAAGCATGTCCTGTCCGGTCAGTGTCCTTTTTCTACTTTTGGGAAGCTTTGGATTAAAAGTTATTATGGACTTTCAGAGGTTTTTCATTCATTCATTTGGGTGGTTTCCCAGGAGAATTTAGTTTGACGTTTGACGTTTAGGAATAAAACAAGCAAAGAAACTAAACTAAAGGTGCTTTTTTCACACTTGCTTTTTGAAACAAGAAACCTTTTTGGCCATGCCACAAAATGAGAGTTGGGTAGAAACGGTCAATGTGTGTGTGTATGTATGTATGTGTATATATATATATATATATATATATATACACACACACATACATATATACTTTTTGACCATTAATTCAGCATCATCCAGGTACATTTTTTTTCTCACTTGAATTTTAAATTCAATCAGATTTCAAACAGAATCAAGAACAGTTTTCTTTTTATCATCTTTTCTCATGTGAATCACGACTGGGAGACCACAAGATTAAAAGCTGCCACTGAGTCACAGGACTGGCTTTCTGGCTTTATGACACAGTATCTCCACCCTATTGATGAGGAAACGCACTCATGCTTCACCAACGATGAGTAAATTATGTTGCAACTTAAATTCCCTGGTTAGTGAATCATGTTGGGAGTTTGTGGAGAAAAGTGTGGCCTAATGACAATGCACATGTATAATTTGGTTGAGAAACAAAAGGCTTGGCCAGCTCTCTTTTGATTAAACAAGCAGTTTAAACAAAAATAACCTCAGCCTAAAAATAGATGGGAGTCCCCCTGTAAAGGTGTCAGTGGAAGAACACGTATTACCCGGGTTTGTAGCAAACAAAATATCCAGGATACAGAGTCGGAAAACAAAAGTTGTGTTTGCTTTATTTATTAGCCTGTTTCCTCTCAGAGGACATGCTTACGTTTACAGACGACTCATGGAGACGTGGACCATTTAAAGCCGGGTAGAAATGACTCCACGGTCAGCTTTCAGTTGCAAAACTGCTTTTAGTTCTTCTAACAGTGACCACAAATATACTCTATTCTACTGTAAATGTTGATGTTGACTGCGGTCAATAAAGACTAACTGCAGTCTGTTCACACTTTTATTAACTGAGTGAAATTAGGGAAAATGATGTTCAAAGCAAGAAAATAGTGAATTTGACTGTTAAATTAATCTTGTAGAAAAATAGACTACATACATGATACCTATTTAAATACATATTCCAACGTTATACAGCAGTCAGCACAGGCAAAATGGGACCACCTTGGTTTTGAAGTGGTTCACTGGGTATGGACTTAAATGGAGAAATAAGTTCTCTGTATCAAGGTTTTGCATGCTTAGATTTCACTGAAGGCATTTTCGGATTAAACATTCAACAAATGGAGTTATTTCGTAGCCCTATACAGTAAGTATTTTACAATAAAAGAAAATGTTATTTCACATAATTCAAACTGTTAAAAATAACCCAACGCTGATTCTGTAAACTACTACTGACGGTGATTAAATTGATTGCAGCATTTTACTGTATTTACACAAGGCGTAAGTTTCTGATTATGTTGAGTAATAATGTTGCATGAAATAGTTACAAACACAGTGCTATATATCCCCAGTCTTCTTTCATAAGGGTAATTGGAAAATAAATTAAAGGTACAAGACTCAATAATTCCCTGTTATCATGTTAAGAAAAAGTAACATTTCTTCAGAAAACTTCCAAAGTTCAACAAATAAACTTTCAAAGTTTGGAGTTAAACTAGTTATTTGAGTAGATAACGATTAAATGCCATTACGCAGACTCATAGGAGAGTTTTTTGATGGTTAGAAGATTAAATAATAAAACTGGTTTGACTTTGAAGGCCAGCTGACTTTCACCCAGATTTTCACTCTTGTTACAGACACTAAACATCCATTTTGAACAGCTTGTATGCAGAACTGATCAAAGGCTGCTGTTTACAGGGTATTTCAGCAGGCCAGTGGTAGTCTCCTGCCAAAGTAAATTACGTTCTCCAAGGAAGTACATATATAAATGTATATAAATATATAATAGATTCAGTATTTTAGCTTTCACTAAGCAACCTCAACCATTCCATTTCACTGGACTTGGTTGAATGTTATGTAATCATGCCACTGAAACCTCTTTTACTGGAGCAAAGCCTTTTAAATGTTCTAATGAAGCCGTATTGCATGTTGATGCTACACGGCGCACGAAAAAAACGCCTTTCCCTAAGATTTAGCTGTGTTTACTTTAAGGGTTCGTTTCTGCGATACCCAACATGTCCGTGTACACTGCGGTCAGGAAAAAGGACTTGTTGGGCATGGGGCAGCTCTGTATGTAAAAAACTAAGTGACATACATCACTTACTCTGTTTCCAGCTTTTCCAAACTGCTCTGAATCATTAAAGAATTCACATACAGAAATACTGTAAAACAAAGCTGTTACACCCCACACAACATCTAAGTGATAAGGTTATACATAATGATAGTTATTCATAATTTATATAATTAATATAAGGTTGTTTTTATATTTTCATCATAGGATGACTCAACACATGGCCATCTGAATCTTTTATAGGATATATAGTTGTTTACAACAGTAGTTGTTATATTTAATAGTTATTTTAGTTATAGTTCACTTATATATTATCTTGTTTTATTGTTTTCTTTTATTTATTGTGATTATCTCTAGATAGTGGTTGAGATAATGAGTATTTATAGGGGAAACTTCCACAGTCTGTCCCCTATAAGCCTGTAAGGTCCACTATGGCCTTGATGAAAATGGTGTCATCTCTCAGATACGGGCTCTTGCCGGCCAGCTTGGCCAGTGGGCAGAAGAGTGGGCAGCCACTGGCGATGTTCATCTCACTGATCGGCCGCTGGAAAGAGGTGGAGGTGACATCGGGGCGGAAAGCATCAATAATGTGCTCCCTGTTGTTCTGGTCCAATAACATCAGAGTCACCTTGGAGGGAAGAAAGTTGGAAAACATCAGTTTTTTGGGGTTTTTTGCACCGTTTAATTTGGTTCTGGTTTATTAACATTCAGAGTGATTGTCCGTGTAAAAGAGTACCTTCTGACTGAAGGGCCATTTGAGCAGCGCGTCACACTTGCCCCGCATGACGACGAAGAACAGCGAGAGGTGCGTTCCTCGCCCCGTTCCATCGCCGTTCAAATACAGCCTGAGACACATTTTGTAGCCGTACTTGCTGGAGTAAAACGCTGCAAAAGGAAAGAAAAAGAAAAAAACCCCAGAGTTTAAATATAGACTTAAAAGTCACAAGAGAGGAGGAGTGACTTGGATACTCTCTTTAGAGCAACAAGGGTGTAACGAGTAGGAATTTCCCTCGTCTTCACGCCAACATCATGAGGAGCACATGATCACTTTCACTCGCATACTGTAGATGTTTCATTGAGGTCAAACGATACCCTTCTAGTCTATCTGAGACCTTTGAAAAGATAGATGCGTGGTGATCACATCGTCCTACCTGGTGAGAACATGGCCGGTGCTCGCCCGGCCACGGCTTCCTGCCTGCGGCGCGAGAAGTCTGTGATCTTCCAGACAAAAATCCCGTCGTAGGTGCAGAGCTGGAGCTCCCGTACCAGCTGCTCGGTTTCGGACAGCTGCAAGTCCCTCATGTTCACCATTCTCTCCAGCTGTCGTATTTTGGTGGACAAACTTTCGATCTTTTCTTGGTCTAAACGGTGCTGATGTGCGAAGGCCTCCAGCGTCAGGGAGCTGCGCTCCACCTCCCGGTTCAGGACGCACACGATGTTTTCTAAAGCGGAGACCTGTCGGAAAACGGGAAAATTAGATCCCGGTCTCGTGATAGGTCGGTAGTGGCGATCTGCGAGCTGACAGGTATGGCGTCTGATTCGAGGAGGCTCACTTTTTTCTCCAGGTCAACGGACTGGGAGGAGGCGGCGGCTCCGCTGCCCTCGTCGGGAGCCCTGTACAGCCCCAGGCCAGAGTCTTCCTGCCACTCGCCAGATCCGGAGCCGTCGGCGCGCGTCCGGACCATGGACAGCACCGTGGGCAGCAGCAGGCGCAGGTGCTCCATGGCGCTGCTGTGCTCATGGTCGCTCAGCTTCCCGTTCTCTATCTGAGAGCATGCAGGAGACACAGGCCAAACATAGCTCAGATTTATCACTTAATAAAATGAGTAGTTTTCCAAAAAGGAGCCGATCAGAAAAAGTACATAAAAAGTAAATAAAGTAAAAAGTTTTTAAAAAAAGGATTTTAAAAAAGCGTTTTTTACCTGTTCTGAGCTGAGGCAGCTTATACATGTTTTTATTATTTATACAAAATTAACATTACAACAATATTTGAAAGTGGTTGATTATCTAAAATTTAAAGTCAGAGAATTAACTGATTTAGTGGGATGGGTTTAAGTTTTCGGGGAGATCCCTAAGTGTGTGAAACCTTGAAACCAGGCCATGTTCCAATTTTAACCACTTCCTTATCTCAAAAAACATTCTTCATCTAATCATAACGGTCCAAATGTTTCGTTGGAACTGTGTGGGTGTGCTTTGATAACATCTGGTTGATAACATAAAGGAAGACAAGAGCTTCTGAACTGCCCGTACGTTCAGATTCAAATTATGCTTATGTCTGATAGGTTGCTGGTACTTATCCCCACCCACTTTGAATAAGAAAAAAAACCCAAGAACAAATATCCTGAAAGAACCTAAAGCAGGTGAAGAACATATTTTCAAAGCCAATTTGCGCTTATAAAATCATTTTAGCCAAGTTGGAAAATGTAGTTTTAAATGAAGCTCATTGATTGTAATTATAATTGAATTGTAGGTGTGATGGTTGGGTTTTTATATGCAGATATTTATAGGTAAAACTAATCAGATTATAGCAGAATGTGTTTTTAACAGACAATGCGATATATGTTGTATTATATTTTGATACTTTTATACTGACAATGCATTTGAATAATTCATTGAGACTTCTGGTATAAGAGAAACAATCCTAAATATACAATTCATGTTATAGACAAGTTATTTTTGTCAATAGTAAAAAAAAAGAAAAAGGAAAAGAACATAATGGAATGATTACTGTGGATTAGTTTACTGGACATACCACGGATTTACAGCCCACTTCGCTGAATGGACAGGCGTTCTTTGACTTGGCGCAGGACTTGACGTGATCTTGGAACTGAAAGCAAAATGGTCAAATGGAAAGTGGAAGAGTTAGCTGAGTTATTAGAATCAGGCAATCAATTCAAAATGACAGTAGGGGGAAACCAAAAAGAAACTGACATGTCAAACATGTCAAACACTTTTCAAAACAGGAATGTGACCTGCTCATTGTCGTCAGCATGAAGCCTTTAATATTTCTGTTTCCTTTCATATAGCGTATATTTAAAAGCTCTGGTGCCTCATACCATTGACAGTTTGGTAAAGTGATTTAAAACCAAATCACACTGTTGCATAAAATGTAAGTAAGTAAGTAAGCAGTTTGAAATCATCTCCAACCTTTTCTCTTGGGATCTTCTTTTTGCCACAGTCTTTGCATTGTAAGGGAAACTTCTGGCAAATCTCATCGTGAGCCTAAAATATCACATAAAGCAGACAAATGTTATTTTGCGTGTCCATTTGTTCAAACGCAACAAACAGATGCTCTATTTCCGCCTCTTTTCTCACCTTTATGTCTTTAAAGTTGAATGTCAACTTGCAGTACTTGCAGTTGAGGGTCCTGGCCTCACATTCTCTCTCATTGTGTCGGTCCATATCCCTGCGAACGACCTGGCTTTGGCAGGCCTCACACTGAACCTGCTCATACTCACAGCGGCCTTCGTGCTGAGCCTGAAAAAGGGAAAGGCAGGAGTAATGTTAAATTCATTAAAGTCATTAAACAGTCTTCTATTCTCATGCAGAGCAACTCGTGACCTTTCAAAAATATCTCTGAATTTAAGAAGGTGCTTTTTCTGTGTCAGGGTTATGAAAGTTCAAAAGGAAAACCTTTTCAAGAACGGTTGAAAAGCGGTTCAACCGATTTTTAGAAGTGAATAGGTGTGGTTTTTAAAAGGGGTGTATAAACATCTGAAACGCGGAAGAGCCGGAGCAGCTGGTTTATTGTTTGTGATGAAACAGGGCGTAATTAACGGTCAGAGATGTAAAAATTATCTGTTTTTTCTTTTTATACACTCTGTAGTCAAGTAGAAAAAATATTCTGGGAACAAAAGTTTTTTGTTTGTCTTTTTAGGTGTGGCTTTACATATAGAGAACAACATGAGGAACAAAAATAACAGAACACAAGAAAAATGAGGAAGCTAAAATAAAACAAAAGAAAACAAAGTGGACTAATAACAAGAAATTATGGAGATTAACGGGTTAGATATTCCGGGTTATTCAGATTCAAAACTTCCGGGTACGGGAGGGGGCAGCGTCGAAATGAGATGTGCCGCCTACTTCGGAAGATGGTTTTTTCAGAATGACTGGAGGTGCCACGCTGGAACCACAGAGCTGGAAGATCAGGTATGTGTCCCTGTTTTTCGATTTGACTGCTCTTTTTCGAAACACATCTAAAACCGCACCGCACAAATGAAAATGAATCACAACCGAAGCCTTAGTAGATGGTGTTGAAAGCTCCCTGCTCTCAGGATGCCGCGTGTGCACCACAGTCAGCCATTTTTTTTCTTTTCCATTTTAGCAAAGTACTGTTTCGGGTGTTTACCATTAGCTATAAACAACAAGGCGGTTCTATCCAGATGACAAAGTGTAAAAGTAACCCATCAACATTCGCACAAACGTGGGTGTGCAACATTGCATGACAATCATTTCAGCGATGAAACTGTGGCACGCCAAGGCTGTGGAGGCTCACCACACCAATCTAATTTTGGGAGGATCAGCATCCCTCAAGGCGGACGTCCATTTGCAAAGCATGCAAAACAGCTCTTCGTCATTAGAACCAAGTAGATTTTATGCTGACCCACCACTTTAAAATTGGTATTGTGGTACCAGACCGACAAAATATTGTACAGTTGGCCGATAAAAGCAGCAACAAATACAAACTGCCAGTAACTTTTTTATTTAAGATCTACATTGGGAAACTAAATCTTTTAAAAACAGAGCACCAATGTGAGTCATAACAAAAAGCAAAACCAGACAGATGGCTTTTATTCGGACAAATAGAAACCAAAACATAAATTTAACATAGAATTCTGCTGGTGCTTTTTTTATATTTTGCAAATCTCTCACAGGTCAATGATCATCCTCCTTCCTGTACCATCGTAACCTCCCTTATAGAATGACAAGTTTTATCTACATTCATGGTTATCTATTCTCTTACAGCCAATGAGTAACGTTGAAAGCAATGACCTTCCCTGGTGGTACTTTCCACAGAGCGTTGTTGTTACATGAGCCAAGACTTTAAGGGACTTTCCAGCCCACATTGTGAATATCACTTCCTGTTTCTCAGATTACAGCAGCTGTTCCGCCATTATGAGAACAGAGTACTTAACCAGGGGAATAACATGGCCAGGGAAGTCAAACTACTTTGTGTCACATCACACTGAGATTATTTTAGACTGAGTAAGAACAGAAATTAGCATGGGGTTTAAAAATTCTTAAGAGGAAGCAGCAATGCCCACATGAACAAAGAATAACTTCATGCTTTACCTCATACTCCTTTATAGAGCCAGTCCACGTGCAGTCCCGGTTCAAACACCTGGCAGGCAGGCTTGCTATCTCTCGCCCTGCAGCATTGTCTGGGAATGCCTGGTGGGGGTTTGGGGGGCAAAGAACAAATAGCTCAGTGAGAGATTAAACAACATGCAAACAGAAAGGGATCCATTATGTGGTCAGGGAAACCCCCTGTCTGGATGCGCCTAAACTATGCTCTCCAGGATGGCAATCATAAAGTATAAGTTGACACAACTGCATGTTTCTGAACTAACCTCATTGCTATTGAGGATTGAAATAGGTTCCTCATATATCTCTTCTTGGCGGCAGGCTTCACAAGGCTTTGGCCCCGAGCTAATAAACAAAACAAGTTAACAATGAAAAAATAAAAAAACAGTGAAGGAAAAAGAGAGAAAAAAAACACCCGCACATCAGAAAAATTCATCTGCTTCATTAACAAGAATGTATGGAATACAAATACACATATCTAGCTCACAGCTCACTGAACAGTGAAACAAAAGTGAAAGAAGCTAGCAGCATCATACAGGTTGAAACCGAATAATTGACCAACACAAGCACATAAAAAAGGATGAATAACAAAAGGATGCTGTGGACTTTGGCATACCTTCTAATATTTGGTTAAAATGAGTTACACCTCTGTTCCTGACATTTAATCATACTGTGAAGGAGTCGTTCAGTATAAAGGAGATATACAGCAGCTCGTTATCAATGCACACCTTGAATGAATCAGCAAGTCCAGTAAAATTAGTCAGCACGGCAAGATCCTTGTGATTCTGTGACATCAGTGTTAAGGATGAGTCTGCATGAAGCACATAAGCCCAAGTGCAAAAAGTCCCTAGATGCGAGCAGTTAAAAACACAGGATGTGCTGAGGCAAATCCAGTAAGAAGGGAAGCATAACAGGTAGAGGGGGGGTTGCATGTCACACGATGGTGGGTGGTCTAAGGACCTCCAGTCTACCTGGTGAGTTGCTTGAAGCAGTGCACGCAGAAGCGATGGCCGCACTGAGCCTGGACAGGCTTCCTCAGGACCTGAAGACACTGCTGACATTTGTATTTATTCTCCATGGGCACTGACAGCACACTGAGGGGGATCCCCGGTAAAGAGCTTTGGCAGTCCAATGAGATGCGGGCCATTTTTCTCCATCAATCTGGTGCTGGATCCTGTGAATTGCAGCAACAGAAAAACGGCCGGCATCAGCAAAGCGACGCTTTACTGCCCAGCCACAAAAGACACAAATCTCATACAACACGGTGTTTTCTGTTACCACTAACCTTTACCCAGTAAATTACACACTTGTCTGGTTGTTTGGAGTTTCATTATGTGAGACCTTTGAGCAACTAAAATGATAATTCCACTGCAACACCAAGTTGCATTGCAGAAGCAAGTTAGACATTCTTTTACATGGGGTGGCAAATGCTATCAAAATGATTTTCTTTCATCCTAAGCAAATAAAGTTTTACATAAAACTCAAAATTTGCACAACCGTTGACACCCCAGCGTGCAGGTTTAACATGAGGAGAGCTATTCACATTGACCAAAAGCCTGTTTTCTTTGGAGGAATGGCTGCATTCTTTATATTCTGGTGAAAGGCTTGCTCAGTTCTTTTCTTTTTTTAGAATCCACAAAGCATGAATGGAAAAAGATTGTATCTGTATTTCTGATAGTATCTATTTTCAAAACAAATAGGAAGTAACACGTGATCGCATGGAATTACGCAATGAAATTTGAAAATTGGGGATGTGCCAGTTAAGTTACTGAAACCATAAAGTGGTACAACAGCTTGGAAGCGAACCAGGATATGTATTATAGAACGTATAAATCTAGTCCAAAGTAAAGTCAGAGGTGAGTCACCATAATATGTCAAAGGAAATAAATCCTTGTGAGACAAGAGTGGAAAGTTGTTTTTCATTATTTCCTTAACCAACACTGTCATCATTGTTGCCTTTCTACTCGTCTGCTGTCTCACTGGCTTCCTCCAAGGAGTGTATTTTAAGTTTACGGATGTCTAGCTGAGTTCAGCTGAAATGATGAAAACTCAGCTAACAATAACATCTGACTTCGACCAGCATAAATGGAGAACAAGTTCTGAAAAGTCTACACCCTGTCTTTTTTTAAAAACAGGTCTAACAAGAGCATAAATACAACACAAAACATAAATGTCAAACCAAAGGTCAGTAGTTTTTGCAGTCAAACAGAGCCAGTCATGCCTGGCACTTTTTGTTCTTTACTCCAGTATGTGTTTTATCAAAAGCTCTCAGAACCACATTTGAAAAATCCCCAAAACAGCTTGTTGACCCGAATTTTTTTGATGATATCACATTACAGTTGAACCTTTTGGTCACAAATATTCCACGTGCAGAAGTGAAAACAACAAGCACAGCTATAGAAACATCAAATAGAAATAAAACATAAATGTAAATAAAAAAGTTAAAAGTAAACAGGACACAAACTAAATCCCCACATGACTTGTCACCAGAAGACTTAAATCATGCCACATGCTCATCATGAGACACGTCAGCTGTTAGTGATAAGGGACAAAAAACAAAAATCTAATATTTATTATCTAAGTTATATTCATACTTTTAACTATTTCATTTAAGCCATTTAAGGTAATCAATTCTAAATTAATTAATTTTTTTAAATGAATGCTTTATCCGCTTTTTAAACCAAGTTTATAAACTTAAATACCACTACCATTTATCAGATTTTATTTTCAAATTAATCAACTAATCAGGACATATATGTAACATATTGTAATTACAATATAAAAAAGAATGAATTATAGTTAATTAACTAATTCTTATTATATTACTATCACATTGTTGATTGCTAAAAATGTACTGCTTCAAATTTTGTCATTTAAATCCCAAATTTAAAAAGATTAATATGATTCAGTTCAGAGAGTGAAATATAAATACATGAAGAATGATCAGATGATGTTTTCCATCTGATAGCAGATATTTGTTTAAGGCGGGAAAGCCACAAATATGTAACTAAGTATGCTTACCAAAGAAACTCTGAATGCATGCCAAATAAAGATTTGATGACTAATACTTTTTCTATGCATCTAAAATGCAAACTTGCATTCGACATTTGCCCCATTAGTAAATAGCACAAAATAATATGCAAGCTGTTTATGTGCCAAAAAATTGAAACAACAAATAAACACAGATCATACCAAGTCCCTATCCTGTGAGGATAATTACTGAATAAGGTCAGCCCATTTAAGATTCAAACCCTGCCTTTTCATGTCAAGTACAAAGGAGAAAGAATTAATGCAGATACATCTAATGCATTACTAGAAAAACATCCTCGGGAAAAAAATAAGAAAAACAGGACACAACATCGCCTCCTTAAGCTCCGGAAGCAAACTGCCAGCAGCTGCTACAGAGCTGAGCGAACTGCTTAAAGTCTGGAAACAAACCCTGCGACATGCCTGCTCTAGTTCAATGTGTCTCCCTCAGCCCGGACAACACCGTGTGCCTCACTCTGACCATAAACAGAAACCAAACTAGAGCTCGTACTCACCGAACACGCCAAGAGTGATTCTTCGTCCTAAAATCTATGCTCTAAGAGAGCACTACACTAGTTCCACCCTGTAACACGTCACCACCCCAGTATAAAAACAGCAGCGTGTACTAATCTTCTCCACATCATCGTGTGAACTTTAAAGCCATTGCATATCTGCAAGTTTGATTTCTCTTTTACTTCTATGTGCGTTTGAAGTTGAAAACCAAGAAAAATGTATCTGAGCGACGCGCCTTAGTTTTTGTGTGTAAGTGCGCAACTTTATTTCAAGCTAAATTCATCGGTGCTTAAATGTTTATACGTATTTACTTACAGTTTAGTTCATTATTTTCAGGTTAGTACATACAACTAAAATGGTGAAAGCCCATTTAGGATAGATTCGTTAGCACCTCTTTGCTACAAACACATTCAGCCAACCGACCTTGGCGTCTCGAGTGGACGTGAGCAGCAAGAGCATGAAACGAAACAGCTTAAATGCTGCAGTGCTAGGGCAACTCGCCCTTTACTTGTGTTTCTCTTCCGCTTTCTTTCCCCCTGTCAACGGACCTACGTCACTCATAAGCACGCATGCGCGATAAGGTTCATAATGTGGCTTCGGTCGTGTAAGTCGCTGAAGGGAAAACGGACACTTTTCACCTTAACCTCTAAAGGTATGACATTGCACTGGTGTCCTAAGCACTTTTTTTTATTTTTATAGAAGTAATTATTTTTGATAAATTGCTCGTTTTAGCACTAATGAAGATGTTTGGAATCCTGAGCGTGTACTTTTGACCATGCCGTGCTATGTAGCACTGCAGCAGTTATCTTACATTTGTCAAATATAGAGGGCAACTTTGTCAGCTCAATCAGATCATGTAATTTAAAATTGTTTATATTACAAGGTCATTTCAGTCGAATAATTCAGTGTTTTACTGATTATGAGTGACCAAGACTCGTTAAGTCTCCTGAAATAGAGGGTCCATTGAAATGGTTATCTCATGAGTAAAGAGTGTTCCATGAGTAACACTTGCATTCACTCAGATGAGTGATGCGTAAAGAACTACACCTAACATGCCTTGTTGTTGCTATTGTAAGGGGTTATGTTCTAATCTTGAGTTGCTTCATATGGTGAGATTGATGTTGAAGTAACTATGTGCACCTGAGAGTGTATGCCAGCTAAATGACTAAGATCTCAGTGTGACAGATAATCATCTTCAAATTCCCAAAAAGTGAGTGAAGCAACATGAGACATAAGTTTCATACCTGGTTTGGCCATCATAGAACTGATGCTTTAACCCCATTGAATCTTTTTTTTTGGGGGGGGGGGGTTTACACCTTACTGGAAACATTCACTTTGAAGATAGACTGTCCACACTGATTCTGACCCATCTGTACGCATCTTGTGGCAACATCATTGAGACAAGGTTATTTACAGATTTGCTTTAATAGAGGCCGGTTGTTCGGTCCTCCTATCCCTGCTGATGACATTCTGTGCATACGTCACTACTGTGACAGAGCTTGTTGCTACATATTCTGCCATCACCTTGACAGAGAACGCTCTGACCCTAGATGATGTGTTCTGTGAGCAGCGGCAAGGCCCTGGTCTTTCCCACAAAGCAGCAGTGTCTCACGCACTCAGATTGGCTTTTGCTTTAGTTAAGATGTTATACAGTGGCACAAGAGATAAAAATCCCCACGAATTCCCGACTGAGTGACCACAGCATCTGATCTGAGAAGCACCTGTAGTCATACAGACTGCATTTTCCCCCCAAACGTTCTCAAATCAGTAGGTGTGAAATCTTTGTGTACACGTGTGTATGTATGTGTGTATCTTGGTCTGGTCCAATTATCCTCGGGGTTAACCCGCAGATTAAATCAAGTTCACCATTATCTATATGGCAGTGAAAGAGCAAGAATGTCACCTTTAGTCAAGTTTATAATTCTGCTCCTCCTTTGTCTTTGCAGTGTGTGTTCGCCAGCTTTGTACCAGTCGTGTGGATTTTGCACATAGCTACTATGATGGCATTTACCCTGGACACATCCATACAACCCCCTTTCAGAAAGCCCTGTTGGCTGTGGGGTCTGGTGTGGCAGCTCTTCAGGACCCCTACAGGCACGGTGGGGCTGTGTTGCTTTTATCAAACATTGATTCTCTTGAGGATGTCTCATTTATATTGCTCTGCGGATATCATGGGGATTTCATGTGAAACTCCATTCCCCCTATAACACAAGCTATCACCGATTAAATCGATGAAAGGATAACCCCCCCCCCACATTTTTTTCCCTACAATTCTGACAGAGCACTCTGATCATTCTCAAGCTAGTTTTCTCCAGAGACCATTCTCATGCATGTCAGCAATGGAAATGAGACTTAAACACGAAAGATGAGTGTATTCACACCTGTCAGCTGAGACTCGGTCACAATTTTAGACCACAGGTGTCAATGTAGTAGTTTCGCTGCCACCTCCCGCCCCCATACACCAAAACCACTATCACCACCGTGGCCCTTTTCTTGTAAAGACCACACCCTGGGTTTCTATTTCTAATTCCAATCCTTTAAAGTCAACAGGACAGGTCATCTCTAAGGTTAAACCAAAATGTCTATTTCCATTGTTATTAAATAAACAGATTGACACACTGCCAATACTGGACAGAGTCTACACGATGTGCATGTAAACTATAGATTCTCAGACAAATCGCTCATGTGCACAGTACCCGTGAGTGGAGCTAATCTGAAAATGTTTCAAGATTAAATGAGTTTGAATTTTTATGACATCACATGTTGGAAAATGTCATTATTGAAGTTTAATGTCGTGTGCTTTGATTGATATGAACAGATATGGTTGCTGTGCTCGGCGAGACCACCGGACAATTTGCTCTCCTTAAACTAAGAGACAGGATGAGAAACGACCCTGAAGGCCACACTATTCTCACGTGAGTCCCCTTACAGTATAGGTCTAGCTATAGTCTAGCTCTTTTCTTTAAAAACTTCCCTTACAGGGAGATGATGAGTGTCTTGCTTTGTTTCTGACTGCAGAGAAAGGCCCAGGATTCGGCTGTCGACTCTCGATCTTAAAAAGATGGCCTCGCTCCCTGACGGATCTTTTGGGAGAGAATATCTCCGTTTTCTGGAGGACAATGTACGTGATTTCAGGAAACTGTAATGTGCAAATATTTCACATGTTCATGTCCTAATTTGTTACGTAAAAAAGTTTTCTCTATGTCTATATCTGCCCATCAACTTTTGCTTCATTCTGTCTTGTTTTCTAAAAGAAAGTCACCCCTGACTCAAGGGCAGAGGTGAAGTTTGTGGACAGTGAGGAACTAGCTTACATCATGCTGAGATACAGAGAGGTCCATGACTTGTTGCACACCTTACTGGGCATGCCCACTAACATGCTGGGTGAGTCAGGCCTTCCTCAGAATACATTTAAGGCTGAGAAGCATTAGCATCTGGGAAAGTCAATTGGTCCCATTCTCAGACTCATACAATGCACTGTTGAATATACAGTTTTTCTGTTTTTTGTTTTTTAATCACAGCTGGGCTCATCTTTTAGTTTCTTTCAACTTTTCAGTCCTCACAGAATTCACATAATTAGAGGCCTTATACTGTAAAATATGAATAAAAGCAGTCAGTTCAGCTGGCGACATGCATCCACAGAAACTATTTTTCACACCTAGGTTTTTACAGCAGAAAGGTTATATTAAAGGTTATATTTTCTTTCATTTGCATCTTTGTTTCTTATATCTGGATCTCCCCCTGTTTCAGGTGAAGTAGCGGTGAAATGGTTTGAGGCTGCTCAGACGGGGCTGCCCATGTGCACTCTGGGGGCCGTGCTGGGGCCACTAAGACTCAATGCAAGGTGCGGTTCCACTCCACAGTACATGAACACAGAGACAGTTGTGGTGAGCTCTGTAGAGCTATTGAAGTTACCTGGTTGTGTAGTTAGTTGAAATGCGAAGGACCTGTCACAGCGTCTTCAAACGGTGCCCAGTTTTGAGTTTGAATGTTAAGCTGATGCCTTTGACATTTTACCAGTCAGTCAGAAATCAGAACTCTTAGTTTTTCTTTAAAGTACCCTTTAACCATATCTGAATTGTTTGGTTAAAAGTTTTAGACTAAAGAGCAGAGGGAGAAAAATGTGTTTTTGTCCCAAACATGAAGGAGGGCACTGCATGCTTAAACTGTTGATTCTGACATGTAAACATGCACTGTAGATTTCCAGGTTTTTTGTAGTGACTCTTAATTATTACTGTAATGAAAATGTGGTATTTCTACCAGTAACTTTCAAAGTTCATGGCTCCTTTTATACTCCAATTGAAGTTTAGAAAACTGTGTGATGAACCAGTGAACTGTGTCATTCACCTTTAAATTATTCAAGCTTCCTTTTTGAATCACTGGAAAAAGATTTTTTGAGATCTTCCAGATCAGCAAGCTTTTCTAGATTGCTCCTTAACATTTTTCCTCCATTATAATCCCTCCCCCAGCCGTTTACAGTCACTCTTCACATCTTTGGGGCCTTGGGCTGTGCAGAACGGCAGGCGAGCCCGCTGTGTCCTTAATGTATTCTACGAGAGGCGTTGGGAACAGAGCCTCGAAGAACTCAGACAAGAACTCAACATCGAGCCTCCACCTGTCATACCCGGTGCAACGCAGAAGAGTCGGACTTGAAAAAGAGCCGGCAGAGGCTTCATGAAAAAAAAGACGGAAGAACAGACAAACCATATTTAACTGAAGAAATGGAACGTTTAGCTCTTAGCAACGTGTTGCGTGTCCAAGCTTTCATAAAGCTTTGCTTTAATTGTCAACTCACGACAGCTGCTGAAATGGTTCAGCTCTGTGTGCTTGCTGTTCTGACACCAGTCTGAATGAACAGAGGCTGCATTGAGGCTCATTTTGTTCCATTTATCTAAACTCTGTATAGGATTTAATAAATCTAATCATACATTCTTACTTCTACGTATTCTGATTGAAGAGCTCTGGTGAACCTTTGTCTGATAGCTCTTACTAGGTGCCTGTGTTTGGTCACGTATTTCAGCCTGTAAATGAAGAGAACCTTTAGAGGCAGTGTTGCTCATTTCTTTTGGTGAAAGGATTGGTACTAAAGGCTACATTTGACATTGCTGCCCCCAAGTGGTGTACTGACAAAGTGCAACATCAATGACAAAAGGATAGATGCAGTCATCTCTCCTCTCTGTCACTGTCAGATGTATTTATAAGTATAAGCAAATGCTATCTTTCGCAAATTCACATGGTCATGTCTAAATGCTAGTGTCCAGATGCACACCTCTCCTGGAATACAATGCAATGTGGACTAATCAAATGCCGGTTCACATGAAAAGACACCTATAAGGTAAATCCAACACTCCCGTGAACGGAGTGCAGCTCCATTCATTCTGGTGATTGCCTATTCATCCTGCTCCAATCAGGAAGACCGGGGCTCCTGCTGAGTTCCTGCCCTGAGGGCGACACATCCATCACAGGACTTTGCTGACGTGGATTGACATGTTCTGTTGTCATTTTCATTCCTTGTGTGCAGTGTAATTCCTGCTCATTTCATTGCACGTGAGACTTGTTTTGACTCCCTTAAATTGCCCACTTGGGTTAAATAAAGCTTTATTTGATTTGATTTATTCATACCATTTTAAGTGTTTTGTATAGTTTGGTTTTATCTTCTGATTTCAAATATTTCATTTTAGAATGATTTTTAAAATATAATTTATAATACCCATAAGAGTATGGGAACGTGTTTATTCAGCTTATACAAAAAATTTGAATACAAAATTATCAAAAAGTACTTGGAAGTGACATCTCTTACCACATAACATTTCAAACCTGGATCAACCAGTGACACAGATGTTTCCTTAAAAAGTTAGATATCTTCATTACAAAGGCCAGGACTCAATTGTGATTGGTGCTGTACGGTCATATTACACAAAACATTCTTTATAATAAAAAAAACAATCATTGTCAGTCAGAACTATTGCATTGTACCACTTGTGTTTAAAATGAGAAGACTTGAAACTCATCATTAGAAAAAAGGAAATCGGCAAACTGAATAAATACAAGATAAATAAAAGAGTTGCCCCCTTAGATGGACATCGGGCAGAGACAGTTCTTTCCCTGCGGAGGTGAGCGGGCCTTGATGTTTTCCTCAGTGCAGAATGGTGATGCTGCGGTCCGTCACGGCGCAGGCCGGCAGCAGCGGGGCGCTGAAGCGCTGCGTGGCGCAGTACAGCACGGCGCAGGACTCCGGCTCGTAGAACAGCAGCGCCTGGCTGGAGCAGTCCAGCAGCAGGCCGATCCTCTGCGGCCTCCGGGCCACCTGCAGGGGCAGCTTCTTCCCCGCGTGGCAGAAGGAGTACTCCCCGTCGTAGTGGCACAGCACCCAGGACTGGGCGTTGTGTCCCAGTCGGGCCTGGTCCCCGGAGCCTTTGCGCTCCAGGGAGGCGTAGCACACCCCCACCTTGAAGGCGCCGCTCCCGCCCACGTCCAGCACCCAGCTGTGGGTGCCGGACGACATGGCCAGGGAGCCCAGGGCGTTGGGCCAGCAGTCGAAGCGCGCCGGGTCGTAGGGCGGGGACTGGCGGGGCTTTTTGTGCAGGAAGGTCAGAGTGCAGTGGTCGTCGGACAGGGAGAGCAGCGGGCTCACCGTGCGCTGGTCAAACTTCAGATCAGATGGACCGTAAGCTGTGGGGCGAATGAAGAAAGGGGCATTATTCTCATTCTCTAGTTCTGCATAGAGGTTAGCATAGTATATCATCTGGTGCTTCGCAGATTTACTTATTTAGATCAATTAGGTCTATGCAGTGGTTAAAAAATAAGCAATAATCTTCCCGGTGTTTACACTGCTAACGGCTGCTGGTAAGTAGATACAGTGTTAAATGCAGAGCAGGTGTGGGTTAAGATGGACAGACATCTGTAACATCAGGAATGACCTTAAAGAAGCAGCCGTTGCCTCCCATGTGAAACTCTTTCCCCTGTATAAAATGTGTTGTATCTAGAATAATTTTACCTCCATATATGGGGACCCTCAGAAATGATCAATTATTCATTCGGGTGGTTCTTACCCCAGGTGATGGAGGGATGTAAACACCAATGGAAGACTGAAAAGGATGCGTTCAGTGTTTTCTCTGAGATATGTCCCCCCACAAAGTCCAAGGAGCAGTTGTGGACGAAAACAGATTTCAAGGCTTTACAAAAGTCTTCAGCTACGCTCTTTCCCACCCCCAGTGTATCCATTTCCCCCTTAGCCCCGGCATGAATGTACAAATGTTTTAAAAACTACCAACCGTTGGGCCCGAGCAGCATGGCCGTGGCCCACAGGCCTCTCAGCAGCTTGCTGTCCCCGCAGACTGGGTTCAGGCTGAGCTTGTCTGTGTCACAGGGCTCCCCGACTCCCTCTGCCTCCTCCACTCTGACACCAACAAACAGATGAATCAGAGACCTAAATTCTTCTCTTTTTTTTCATAATCAACACGTTCAAAATGAGGAAAATGTACCTTTCAGCTATTTCCTGGACACCCGTCTGAAAGCAGAGGCAGAAAGCGGGTGGTTACTGTAGTGATTTATGACCGTTATCAAGATTTAACTATTTGAGAACAGGTTCCTCTATATTAAAAAAAATTCCCACGAGCCCTCCACCCCCCTCCCTCCCATCCCTCACCACCAGCTGTGCATCTGGAGAGTGCGTCAGCGTGTGCACCAAGCTGGAGCGGGTTTGCGACAGACTGGCCAAGGCCTGGCTCCAGTGGGCTCTCTGCGTGAGGAGGCACTGCTCCACCCGCTCCTCCTCCCTCTGCACCTCCTCCAGAAGGCGCTGCTCCTCCTCCTCCAGGGCCTCGCGCGCAGCGCTGACCTGAGCCAGAACTCGCTCCCTCGCCCTGCACGCCGCCGCCTGCACAGCCACAGAGGACAGGGGACGGGAGGAGAACCTAGAGGTTTACATGTATTTCTGTTATGTACAGTCTATTCTAAAAACTAGAGGAGGTCTGTGATAGATGCTTTGTCGTAAAAGATCTCTCCAGTTGATTTAAATTGCTTTTATTTTGTGTTAGCTTGTTTTTGCTATATTTTATTATAGTTTGATTAGTCTCCACTCATCTCCATTATATATATATCAACTAGCCATGGAAATGCTCTCATAAGCTGTTGTCACTTATATCTGAACTGCCTTTTTGCCAGCTTGTAAATCATTTATAAAACACCTAAAACTGTTTTACCTTAACAGTTTTGTTTAATACACACCTAATAATCCAACTTGCCTGGCAAAATTCCCTGATATCAGTGTGGTATCAAATTATTCTTAGTTCATATAAAAGGACGAAAAACACACTATGAAATGGTCAGTCTTGTAATGTTTGCACATCTAACTATAAGGCTGTATTTGTATCTTCTCCAGTGTTTTTAGGAGGTGTCCTTGCCCTCTGCCTTAACTGACTTTAAGTAGGGGCTTAAAAGCAGAGGAGGAATTTCAAAATAGACTGTTGAAGAGGAGGGTACTTCTTCTTAACCTCTGTGTTAAGTTTTAAAGAGCTGACCACTTCTGATTTGTCAAGCATGTGTTTTTTACTTAAACGTTTCCATTTTGCTTAGCCCATGCGTTATCCTTCATCAATTTATGAAGCTTTGGGTTTGCAAACGCAACCTTTGTTCTCGGAGATTCATTTCAGGGCTTCAGAATGAACAAAGCGACAGAGCTCTAATTATTGCTACAAAGCAGACACATTGATTTAATAAAACAATAACATGTGAACTTTATGACAAAACTACAAGTAGGTAACATGCACTGGCCCCCATAACTGGACCTTAGTCCCCGGGTGAGAAAAACCTTTAAGTTTCCTGAAAAGAAATCCTCTGGCTGTATACATTCTAATTCTGTCAATGATTTCTGTAGGTGGTGAAAGGCAGAGGCATGGGTTACATCCCTCAGGGCCAGTAGCTTATTTCCATTTTTAATTAGAATAATCATGTTTCGGTTTCACATTTTCTTCATTCAACCATGCTCCAACTATCAAGATTCACCAAGATTCATTCATTCTCCAACGTAAATAATAATAACTTAAACTATAATGTTTTAACACTGATGAAAACAAAAAGATAAATGGAAATTAGGGAGAACACAGTCAGGCTATATCCTGAATATGATGACATCATAAATACATGCGGATCTCAGACACAGTGGAACCCCCCCCCCCTTCAAGGAAACAGGAAATTCTGTTTAAATAAGCAGCTGCAGTTCTAGTTTGTACAACATATCCAGTAAATTAACCACTTTTGGACAAGACTGGGATGCATAGTCACACAGAATTCATTACCATCAGACCTGACACTCCAACAACTCTTTCGGAAACCGAACACGGCACAGGTTAGATTCCCTGACCAAAGTCTCCATCAATGACTCTCTCTACTCTTTCACTGATCAACGAAAGCGTCTACCATTTTGAATTAGATTGATCTAATTCATTTCTTAAATTTACATTTCCACTAAGTGAACTAAGTTGAACTAAGTGAATTGTAAAAAGTACCCTTTGTTACTCTTTTCTAAAGGTTCTATGTATGTATTTGTTTAAAATGAAGGATGTAAACTCCATCTTTCACATAATAAGTAATAAAAACGCTAATATGAATATACTAAAGACGTTTATTAGTAAAAAAATCTCTTAATATTCAAAAGAAGCTTGACATCTGCATATTGACTATTAATAGCCATGTTCTAAAAGATGTACCACATTAATATTCAATGGATTTTATTCATTTGACTTTACTGGCATCATTTTTCATAAAAATCTCTCTCTGTTCCTTCAATCACACACATTGACGATCATTGAGCCTCACATCGGTCAGCAGAATTAGATTAAATGGGTTGATCTACATTAGTCGCTCCCTTCAGGCAAGGAAACTTAAAAGAGACTATGAAACTTGTGTGAAGACATGAGTCAGCCGACATCACAACAGTACACTTGTGAAACAGGCTCAGCTTCACTTCAGCTCTATGTCCGTGCGTTGGGGGTTTCTCACCTGGAGCTTTTGCTCTTTGGCTGCCAGCGTCTGGTCGACAAACCTCTCAATCCTCAGCGCTTGCAGCTGCATTTTCTCACACACGTCCACCAGCTGGTTCTGGTAAGAGAAACACACACAGACGTGTTCTGTGGTTGTTGGACGAGATGGCAGTTCAACATCTTTAAAGGCAACAAGAAAATCCTGTCCTCTGAAATATGCAGATGAAACAGCAAAGAAACACAGGAACAATTCTGTGGCACTCCCAAGAAAGAATGAGAGCACATTAAGGGTTTTGGTCTATTACTAGATAATATCCTTTGGAAGTGGCATAATAAACATGCTATTAATGATTTTTAAAAAGCCTTTAAGTACCATTATTCCCTTTAGTTAAACTAAAAATAGGGAGTGATTTTTCTTATATACATATTAGATTAAAAATATAGACACTTTTAGAAGTGTTTGTGGAGTGTGGATCCAACTCAGAGGTTGAGGAGCACTGGATATGGTTAAACAACTTTCCTGATGTTTTGCTGGGAAGCATTTGGCTGTTTTTACTGAACTGAAACTTACGTCGCAACTTTAATGAAAAGCAGTATAAAATCTCAACGTTATTACGATGAAAAACACACACATACACACACACCCAGGCAGCTGTTCGACAGGCGATAACTCACCCTGACCGCGGACACTCTGCTGGCCAGAGGGGTCACGCTGTGGCCGTGGCAGGAGCCCACGGAGGCGCAGTGGCCGCAGACCAGTTTGCGCTCGGTGCCGCAGAACCAGTCCAGCTCCGACTCGTGCTCCACGCACAGCTCGCTCTCCACGGAGAAGAACCCGGACTCCGAGTCCGAGATGGCGGCGGCCGTGGGCGAGGCGGTCCCCCCGCTGCAGTCTCCGGGAGAGCCGGCCGCGTCGCCCCCCGGCTGCGCCTTTACGCCGCCGGCCAGCGCGGAGAAAATGGGCTGCTCCAAGTCCGTGCTCCTCCGGCCGGCGGTGGTCGCCCCCGGCGGGGACGAGCACGTCAGGTCGCAGTCGGTGAAAGCGTCGCTCATGGCACGATAAGGCAGCAGGTGCACCGGCGGTGGAGGGCAGGTGTAACACAGGTGAGCGGAACGCGGAAGTGGCGCTCACATGAGAGGTCAGAGCCGGAGTGAAAGCGCTCTGCCCCACCGGCTCTCTCCGGATCGGTGTGGGGCGTCAGCAGAAGTGTCAGAACACTGTGTCATCGATCCGGTACAAGCAGCTATAGGGAGCCCTAAAACAGGTTAGGGCGGTATCGTTCACGTGATGGATTTTCCCTTCAGAATGGGTGGCATCGATGTGAAGTATTTATCCATCTGTTTTTTTTATTTATTTACTTTTCAGCTAAATAAAGGTCCAATTTTGTCAATCCCCTATGTCCAGTTTGTTGCCTTCTTGCTCAGCTATAATGTCCAACCACTGTTCTAAGGAAATATTGGAACTAATTTGTATTCATTGTAATCCTTGTCTTCTTTAATAACCATGTTGCTCTTCAACTTACAGACATCCATCCAGCCAGCTTCATGGTGGAAGTTGGGGTTGTAAAGCCTAAAACACTTTCTGATTATTAGTGGGAATATTTTTTCTTTGCTTAAGACAGATCAGCCCATGAAACAGCAATGTTTTCATCATCAGATTTGATCAAATTAATCTTTACTCATGTTTTGGGGACTTATTTTCTTTTGCTTGAGTTATGTGGACATAATTATGGTGTTTTATTTGTCGCATTCAACATGTAGCCTAAAGCTCCTGTGTGCGATAGCCTTAAGTGTAAGAATGTCATCATACATTTCACAGGGAAGATGGGTGAAATGTATGCCCTGGGATCAGAGGAGCTGCCACTCCTAAAAAACAGCCCGGTTTGGAAATACTGAGCAACACCCAGTGTTTTGAGGATCTCTTATGCTTTAACAACATCAAAGAAGACCTTATTTACATTGTGAAATTCTGTCTTAATATTCAAATGAGTGAAAATGTCACCACCTAGTCTGGAGTTGTTGCCAAATGAGTACTCTGGTAATAATTTTTTTATATCTGGAATTAAAACTGCTTAAAACCAGTACAAACGTTCACTGAATCAGTTATACCTTCTTATGAAAACATCCCTTATACAAATCCGACTTGCATTGTGTTATGTGTGCACCCGTTTGGCATCTTTAAACTGCTCTGAAATGAAAGATCTGTTTATCCACCTACGGATAGTGAGCCAGGCAAGGCAAGTTTATTTGTTTTAAAGTCTATTCTCTGAGTGACAGGAAGCCAGTGACAGACACCTTAGCATGGACTGATTTGGTCGTATTTCCTGGTTCAGGTCAGAACTTCTGGATGTTCTGCAGCTGGACCACAGCTGGTTTAGATCCCAGTGAGCAGCTGTTACGGTAGTCCAACCTGCTAGAGACAAACGCATGGATTAGTCTTACTAGGTCTGATTTAGACACTATTCCTCTGATTCTAGCAATGTTTTGAAGATGGTAAAAGGCTGCTGATGTTATTAATTTAATGTGGCTGTTAAAGTTCAGGTCTGAGTCCAGTATTACCCCAAGACGACTTTAAAAAGATTCAATCTAAAAACATACAAACCACCAAAAGAAAGAACTCCCCTCGCACTCCACTGAGTCTGTAACTGGATAGGGGTGATTGACAGAGGAGCGTCAGCTGAGACAAGGTGGGTTTAAACACATCTCACGTTGATATGAGAGCAGCAGGGCACAGGGCTGCCTTTGTTATACCAGCATGAAAAAGCTGTTGTGTGGTTACTGCAACAAGTCACCACTAGACAAAGAGATGCTTACATCAGGAATTGAGAAAGGGTTTAATGTCAGTTAAGTTTGTGGTTTAAGGAAGGTCGAAACACATGACTAAATATTCAGAAAAAAAATAGACAAACTCTTCCTTTTTTCTTTTTAATGTATCCGGATATGCTTGAAGAGTCAAGTCTGATTTAATAAAAAATGTATTTTGATAAATCAGAATCAGAATCAGAATAAGGTTTATTGCCAACTAGGTTTTTAGACTTTTGGTGCACAACACTTCTATGAGAAGCAAGGAAGGAAATAAAATGTAGAAATAAAAATATAGAACAGAAATGATAAAACTGAAAAATACAATATTTAAAAATATAGATCTGAATGTACAAATTAACAATTGAAATCTGCAATGTTGATGTACAACGACAGACCAGAAAATGCTGACAGTAGCATTGGGTAAATTAGTGAGGTAGAGGGGGGTGGGAGAAGAATAGGTGGGGGTCGCTGGCCTTGTTGATGAGGCCAGTCGCTGCTGGATAGAAACTGTCTTTATGGTGTGAGGTATTGGTCCTGATGGTCCTCAACCTTCTGCCAGAGGGGAGAATTTCAAAAAGTTTGTGTGATAAAAGGAGTGATACTTCCTTTTCGTTACCTTGGAGTAATTTAATTTGACTTCCTAACCCTGTGGTGCATTCTTAGATACATTAGATACAGTCCGATGGTCATTCTTGACCTTGTTGAATAAGATTATTAATGAGAGATTGTGCATTTTAATCCAAAGCCCCAAGACCTTTAAGAGCATTTCCTACACCAAAGCAAAATTTCTATTCACTCAAAAGAAAAAGTTAAATCTTTTGAAGATTCAGAATATAAGATTCAACCATTTTTTCCACCCACCTTTTTAATACAGTATAAACTTGGTCTGCATTATTGAAGCAACCAGCTTGCTGGCCGGATATATCTGTAATAAGGCCTGTGGGCTCTAGAGGGCACTGCTTTATTTGACAAAGCGAATGTCATTTTCATCACAGGACAGGACAGATGGGGTAAGATTAATACTGAGGATGAGGAAAATACAAGAAAAGACCATATCCAATGCCACCGCTATAAGAGGAATTGAAGATTGTTTTGAGCCATGAATATGCAAAGGGGGACGAATGTCAAAGACTTATTTAAAATGGCTTCAGATTGCTCTTCATCAGCACATTCTTTACTCGTTTATTTATTTGCAGGTGCCTTCTTTAGGTGAGCACATGTTACTGATATCCTGAGTTTCAATAAAACACTGGACTGGAAGATAGCCTACCTGAAAACGTAATGTGCAGCAGTTGTAATCAATGCACTTCCTCACAGCTGTTGAAAGCCCTTTAAAAACAATCAAAACCAAAGCTGTAGAGTGGAAAGGCAGAGGTCAAATCAAGATCAAACATTGAATGAAAATCCCATTGTATGAGAGACTATGGAACTTTATTCCTAATTATATTTTATCTAAACTTGGTGGCCTTTCATTTTATAGTCCAACTATAATATAGAGAAACCTTCTCTAAAACTAGCCAACTCTCACAGGAACGTGTCCCTTGCGTGGTCTGTAACTTTCAGTATTTATTTCCCCTTATATATTTCTTACCTGGGGAAAACATTTAATATTATGTTGCTTCAGTAGAAAAAAAGAGACGTCAAACATTTCGCGCGAAAAGTGCTGGAAGTGATCACGAGAGCGTCGTGACGTAATCTTTGAAATAGGCGGTCTTTGAATATCACTATTGTCAATTGGGCGAAACCGGGAGGGGGTATCGGACTAAAAAGGAGTCTAATTGGTCAGTGGGATTTGGTGGCTCGCTCATTGTAGAGCCCCGCCTCCCGCACAGCAGCTCGCCTGGCTTTCCTGCGCCAGCGGCAGTGTGTCACCGAGGCTGGGCTGCGGCCGGAGAGATCCGGACACTGGGGCTATCACCGATCGCTTAGCCCGAGAGCGGCATCGCAGTGGGGCTGAGGAGGGGGGGCTGCCCCGGCGAATTTATCACTCAAAGACTGTCTCGGTCGGATCCCACGCCTCTCTGAGTCACTGCCGCCACAGTCCTCCTGATGTCGGATTTCAAGCTCGGGATCGTACGGCTCGGCCGTGTGGCCGGGAAGGTGAGCTGGATCCCGGAGGCTGCCATGTGCGGACCGGGGGTGGGCCCGCCGGGGATCGAAATCGCGAATCGAGAAAAACGACTAGCGGTGATTAATCGATGCCAGGCAACAGCACCGGTGATAGATAAGCCACTGTAGAAGCGGGAGTTGGTTGAGCGTTACCGTTTTAGCCGCATCTGAGCGGATTAGAGAAGCCGGCCGTGTCGAGCCAGACTGCTCTCCTGAACTCTGCCGCTATCACACAAGTCCCGATTCAAGCTAACCCCCCGTTAGCATTTAGCGGGTTACGTTAGCAGGATAACAATTAAACGGTCAAGTGTGGCACAAATATGACGATAAATGGGTTGCTGGTATCAGTACTGTGGTCGACATGGCTGTGGCCCGTGCTGAATTGGTGTCTAAATCTTTTAACGGCTGTTTTGTCGGCAGTCCAGTTAGCTCTAACATGCTAGCCGTGATATTTGAATCACTGATGTGTCGGCTAGTGAAGAAACCGCCGCCACGCTTTATCAGCTGACCCCGGTGCAGCGTAACGAGGCACCCGACAGGACAACACTACTGGGTCGTTTTGGGCCAAAGCTTCTGTATATTTAGTTTTTTTTATGTTTTTATTCCTGGCTTCAGCGACGGGAGCGTGTTCTCCAGAGGGCTGACGTTGGACCGGGAGGGGGTGGTGACGGGGGTTGGGTGGTTGAGTGTTGGTGTGGAACCGCTCCTAGCTTGATGGTGTCACAAGACACCCGGGATAAACTGTGCTGACGGTTTTTGTTTGAGCTGGGACGAATCCGGCAGCACACCTGCTGCTGATTGACAGGGCTCGCGGGCAAGACGTACGCAGATTGGCAGTTTATTTGGATGCTCTTTATGCTCCAGTTCGACCCCCCACCCCTCCCTCAGACGGGCAACCTGTCGGAGGGGAGAAAGTGGAGTTGATTGCTTGGACTTTCCGGCACGTGAGGAACGCCGCCATGGCATCGCGGCTCTGCTTTGTCGGTGTTGTCCCGTCACGTGCGTCTGGGAGAGAGAGCTCAGATAGTTCCCAAACTGGGTCAAAGTGTGGGTGGTCGGCGTGGGGATTTGACCTGTTTGGTCTCCCCGTTTCCTCCCGGCGACAAGAAAACCTCCTCCCGGAATAGATTCCCTCTGTTTGTGTTGCAAACGTCACACACAGGGCGAGTTTCCAAACAGACGTTTGACACACCATTCCGGTGTTTGACCCCCTGAAAAGAGGCTGGCGGATTGAGATTTTTTGTTGTTGTAATATTTGTGACACTTTGGGGTTTAACCTGCTTGTCTCTCATTTCAGACTAAGTACACTCTGATCGACGAGCAGGACATTCCGCTTGTGGAAAACTATGCCTTTGAGGTGAAGTGTTTTGGATATTTAAACTTTCTTTGCATCACCTTTCTGATGTTCTACGTGCCAGTTTGACAGGATGTCTTGTGTTCCGTTTTTAGGCGCGCATGGAGGTGGACGCCGACGGCAATGGTGCGAAGATCTTTGCTTATGCTTTTGACATCGGCAAAGGCCGCTGGGCAGGAAGGCCGCTCCACGAGCTGCTCTGGTAAGGGATTCACTCAATGTCAAGTGCGAGATAAATCTCCATTATCAGGAAAAGATTAAACACTATGTTGGTCTCTGTAGGAATAGGTTTTGTGTAGAGAAAATGGGGAATTAATATTAAATGAGAATCCAACTAAATGTCCTTCCAGTGTCTCCTCACTGCATGTAACTCAAATTACCAATTAGGGAACTTTAAAAACATTTTTTATCCCTTTTTCTTGTCTTCAGGTCTTTGTATTTTTTCTATCCTTTAAATTGATGTTAATTTAACTGGTATTAGTAAATACCGTAATCTCTCAAAGATTAAGAACGACAGTCCAGTGTTTAGAAGCCACGATAAACTCTTATTATGGCCGCTGAACATCTGGGACGACTGTCTACCTATTAGGTTGTAAAGAACAAGCAAATACAGGTGTAATGCCAGTTATCTGCACAATAAACTGAATTATGGCTTTGATTAGAACTCCTCTGAGTTAAGGCTCCTCCTGCATGAGCTCAGGCTGTTGACGGTGGGCTGTTAGACCGGCTGTTTTTGTTGCTGTGGTGTCAGAAGGTCTCATTTGCCCGTCTTTATTCCAGGGAGAAGCACAGAGGAGGCATTGCCCCTAGTTTTCAAGTCATTCACATCAACTCGGTGACTGTGGACAACCGGCTAGACAACCTTCGACTGGTGCCGGTGGGCTGGAGCCCCAAGCCAGAGGAAATTTCCAGCAAGCAGAGGTAAGATTTGCCTCGGCAACCGTACGGCTTCCTCTTAGAAAGGGTAAAAGCACGGAAGGAGCCGAGGGCCAGAGCTGGTCTTGGTTAAATACAGTGTTTAGTGGCGTCTCTGCTTTATTCCACATTTAAACGTGTGCCCTCTCCCTCTCCGTTCAGAGAGCAGTCTCTCTACTGGCTGGCCATCCAGCAGGTCCCGGCCGACCCCGTGGAGGAGCAGTACCTGGAGCTGAGCCGCACGCGCTACTACAACGCTAACGGGGAGCTGGTGGAGGAGGAGGAGTGCTCGTGCACCTACTACGAGTGTCACTACCCCCCCTGTTCGCTCATCGAGAGGAGGGTAAGTACCCCGCGCTCCGTCCCAACGGCGCCGCTCCGCCTCGCCGCGTTCCGTCCAAACCGGGCGCCGGCCTCACCTCGCCCCTCCGTCTCTCCCCCAGCTGCGGGAGTTCAACATCTGCGGGCGCTGCCAGGTGGCGCGCTACTGCGGCTCCCAGTGCCAGCAGAGGGACTGGCCCGCCCACAAGAAGCAGTGCCGCGAGCGCAAGCGGGTGCTGGCCCTGGAGTCGGAGCCCGAACGGTGATCTGCCCTCGTCCTCGACTGGGATGGGAGGAGGGCGGACGGGGGGACAGTTTCGGA